CTTGGCTACTCTGATCCTTTATTATACTATCTTCTCACAAAGAGCAAATAACTTCTCCCTTTTGGCCATCTTGACCTGTTGCTAGCTTTCGGTTCATGAACTTCAATGGTCTATTTCTATTATGCACACCAACTTGACTCACCTTTGCAGTCGAGTTTTTTTTTTTTGGGACTTACGTGGATGAAAGGGCTTCTGATACTTTGTAAATACATAATACTTAATTTAATTAGGGATGGTCTTGGCTCGTTAAGACTTGGTTGAAGGACATTTTTGGAGTCTTGAGTATGATTTAATTATAAAATACTAATAGTCTATCTGACCAACCTTCCACACGTTGGCAAAACTAATGGATTATGAATCAAAGCAAAAGCTAAAATCAATTTCAAGGTTCGGTGTTTCTATTGCTTCCTCCATTCAACATGCTAGATACTGTTAGTGCCTTGGTGTTTACTTCAGAAAGAGGGAATATACATGAAAAAGTGGAGTGGTTGGGGAATTAGGGAATAAATTAGTGAAGTTGGGAGTGGTTGGAGAGAGGTTTGCATTGAGCAGTTGAGGAGAAAGTAGCCCTTTTTACTTGGCTTATTAAGACCTTTTTGCTATCTCATGATTCTTCTCATTTGACCTCTGATTTTTATTGTAGAATTTTTCTCAGGTGATGCTTAACTAAATTGTCTTGTTTTATTTTGTGATAGGGAGCCAACCCATCATTCTTTGTGGGGGCTTCACTTTGCATTTAAAATTCTGAGACTTTAATAGCTGTGTAGACTATCAATTGATAGATAAGTACTTTCCATAAGTGCTAGAAAGCAATGCTATTTAAAAGTTACAATTCCCTGCATCTTACTTTCATGTTAGAGATCCCATGTAGAGGAATGGAAAGTGCTCACCTGTCCAAGTGTTACTTCGTGGCTCGCTTTTGGGGAATGCTCTTAAAAAATGAGAGATTGGTTTTGGTTTTTTATTTTTTATTTTTTAACGGGGGGGGGGGGGGGGGGGGTTGTACACTAAAATGGGATACGTGTTAGAATAGAAGAAGAGAGTAATTGGCGATATCAAGAATTTGATGTACTCACATGTGTGCAGAGATAAAGTTGCATATGTCTAACTCTCCTAAGACCCTATAACGAAAGGAGTTTCGCACGCTAGACTGTCTTTATTTTTTTAATATTTTGTAACCTTATGGAACCAACATTTGAAAACTTTAACTTCATTTATTTTCATCTTTAGATTTGTTATTCTACAGCCCACTGTTGGTTCTCCACATGGTGTGGAACAAGCTCTTACTGTGCCTGCGACTGAAGACAGTGTTATTCTCTGCTTTGCTGGTCCATAAAAAGGTCTAGACTCTTTCTTTTGATCTTTTTGGAAGTTATCATGATCTCTGTGGGTTGTGCATGTGTCTTGGTGCACTCTTCCATCGACAAACTAGACTTGCATCTCTACTTGCTAAAATAAGAGCAGCCTGACAATAAAAATGAGGTGCCCTGTATCAATTTGTTTAAGTTTGTTAGTAAAATAGCTCATATTACAAGAACTGAAGGGGTATGGTTACAATGAAAGCCTACTTACCATGTGTTTTTTAGGTCTATGGTTGCAACTCAAGTCTCGGATGCACGCATTCTCCCGCAAACCATTTGAACATGTTAAACATCATTTTATGTGCCAAGAATTCTCGAATTCAAATGTTTGATTTTATTCCGAGTAATTTTATTGGGATCTAAAAAATTGATTTAATTTATTGACATAATGATGTGACAAGTGATAGAATTCTAATGAAGAAGTCTAACCGTTCTAATCCCCAATACTATTAGACCATGTTATTGTCAAATTTATGAGGGGAGATAGTGGTAACTTAATCTCTCAGACGCGTAAGTCCGAGTAGAACTGAGGGCAAACCATGTGTGTATGAACAGGTCCCTTAACTCATACACCGGTTAAATCAGGACATGCGCGTCGGTAGGGATTTGAACCCACACTAGAGATTTGGATACAGTTCATCCAAGCAACTAAGGTCTATCTTATTAACTAATGATGTTTTTTTTGTTGCTCAAGGGACTTAAATCCTTGACCTCATGAAAATTAAGCTTTCACAATACAAGAAATATGTTCAAGACCTGAAAAGTTACATTGCCTTTGGTGTGTGAATCATATGATTCATAGCAGAGAAGGTGTCACAGTACTTAGTTGGTGGAAACTTTGAAGAGATGGATTGGATAATAAAGATGAAAAGGTGGGAGTGGTTTGAGGAAAGAGAATAAATTAGGTAAAAGTTTGGAGTGGTTGGAGAAAGGTTTGCTTTAAGTGAGTCACAAGAAATGAGCCTTTTTCCCTTGGCTTCTTCACTTCTTGTTTTGTCAAACATCCAATTCAAAGTGTTCTTCTTGGCACCTTCTTGATTCTTCCCTTGTGACTTCGTCTACTTCTTACAATTGGGAAAGAGAAATGTCATCCATTTTTTATTAGATTTGCTCTCATAGGTTTCATGGGGGTGATGGTACTGTGCTAAGTTAATTACATTATGATATGAGTATTACAGAGCGAGAAATAAAACAATTTCTTGACCCTTATCAAATTACACGAAAATTTAATACGTTGAATTTGACTTCTTTTTTTTTTTTTTTGGGTTTATCGTTCTTTATGGTATATTTAATAATTGTCTATTTCTTAATGTTTTTATGAATGGAAGAGACAGAAACCTGCAATTGAAGACATGTCAGATCATTATTTTGTGGGGCTTGAGTTTGCATTAAGAAGAAAAGTGGATCCTGACTCCTAAGGAACAACAATGGGGACCTATAACTGACAGGAAAAATTTCTACTAAAATTTGTTGATGGTTAGTAGTTGGCCTAATAGACACCGTCATTGTTGTTAAATTTTCCTGTAACAGTGTCTGTGCCCTTTTCATTCAATTACTGAGGTCATAGGTCATGTTTTGCTAGTTTACTGTGGTTAACTTATTCTGCTGTGCATGGTCAATGAATAATTATACGTTCCTGCAACTTAGGTCTGTTAGTTTTGTCGGGTGAGACCGTGTTAAAAGTACTTCATCCATATTCTATTTATTTTAAATTTGTGTCTAACGAATCGTGTCATATCAAGTTCGTGTTGTATATAAATTATATATAACCGATAAACGTATTGTATAATATATTTTTTATTAACTTTATCTATATCCAATTCATTTATTAATGTTATCGAATCGGATCTACTCGTTTATAAAATATATGACTTAAAAAATATTTATATTTTTTAATTTCGTATCGTGTTATTTTGACATCCCTATTATAACTATAAATTCAAAAAATATATATCCGGAAAGAACTCATTTGTCTTTTATGTATTTATGTGGTACATATAAGGGGGGAAGAACATTTCCAAGTTCAATTACTGTGGCAACGTGAATTATGTTGGGTGGGCCAACCTCAATGATCCTTGAGGGATGGAGGGAAGATTTTTTATTAGAGAGAAGTACGCCTAGATTCACTTAGATTGATTATTTATTTATTTAAATTTCATAATATTTGAAATATTTAATACGAATTTCTTAAGTTTTGTAAACATGGAACATTCAGATTTTTGTCGTCAATGTCAAATAGTATAATTGTTAATAAATTATATTTAAATTTTATAAAATTTATAGGTGTATAACACTTAGACTTTTTCAAATTTAAAATATTAAACTTAAACTTTTTATTAGTTATAGAATTAACGAAATCTATTAAACGATTAAATTACTCCAATTTAAAATAAAAGATATTACGTTCATTATAATTTAATCCCTTGTTTGTTTTTTTTTTTAATTTTATTCTAATAGATAGTATAATTGTATATTAATTACGATTTTTTTTAACAAAAAATTAGATTTTTATTTTTAATTTTATTTCAATAAATGAAATAATATAATATGAATATTGATTGTAAAATTTAAAATATTTGATATTCGATCTTTGAGTTGAGTATTTTTATTATTAATATAATATTTTAAATTTGAGGGGTGTAAATATTACACGTATATAAATTTAGGGGTCTAAATATAATTTATTAAAAGATATGTTAACGAACATTGATGACAGAGATTTAAGTGTTATGTACACATAAATCTTAAAGAATTTGTATATAATATTTTAAATGTTAAAATTTAAATAATTAAATAATAAATTTTAAGGGGTACGAATATAATTCTCTCTTTCTATTTTTAGTGAACACAGAACACATGCCTTGTGTCTTTCTTTGTCCGCCTGCAATCAATAAAAAAGTTTGCTGTGACTGATGGCTGACATGTTGCTTAAAAGCTAGATCAGATAGAGTAGGACTATGGAAAGAACTCATTTGTCCACTTGTGGAAAATTAAAGGGTAAATTACATTTACATGCTCGACGTTTCTGACATTTTCACTGCACTCCCCATTGTTTACACAATCACTGAAAAATGTTTCATGTTTTTTTAAATAAGAATATTTACTGTTGTTGAAATGTTTATAACATACGTATTTATTCTTAATAGATATTTTTAAAAAATTGATGATAAAATAGGAAGTTTAAGTCGAAAGGTTTGTTTACATCATGACAGACCTTCGTATTGTTGCTTGAAGAGCGGGGTGTTTGCTGTTATAATCTGTCACATCTAAGGGGAGGTCAGTGTAATTGTGTAAACAACAGGGGATTTAGTGAAAATGTCCGAAACAATAAGAAAAAACAAAAAAGTATCATGAGTGACACATGCATCCCGCCTTTGTGAACTTTGTTGTCCGCGCATGCTATGAACAAAAGGTCGCTGTGAATGATGACCACCCACTCTCTCTTGCTCAAAGTGCAGGGTTGCTAATTATAATGAGTAATTTTTGGGATTCTAAATTTGAGATTTTCAATGGAATTTAAATGACAGATCGATTAAAAAATTCATGACAAAATTAAAATTTTTCGTCATCACGTTTACAAAGTATAATTGACTTAATCACGAGCACCACGTCAAATGAAAAAAAAAAAAAAAATGGTCATCACCATTCTGGCAAGTTCATCCTCGGCAATATATGAACGGCGACAACTTCCCTTCCTTCCGGCGGATTTACCACCCAAATCCTCGGTGGCGTCGCCACCACGTCCACCACCGCAATCCGCTCACCACCCCCACAAACCACACAAACTCTCCCCCCACCGGCGGTTATATGCTGGGCACCTCTCAGAATCTCCGGCGAGTCAACCACCTCTTCCCACGAGTCATTCTCCGAATCATACTTGCTCAGAACACCGTTTGCCTCATCCACCACATACAACCTATCTTCACCACCCATCGCCGCCGGCCCATTCCACCCTCCGATCATCCCCTCCGGCATGTTCTCCCACCGGTTTTTTTCCATGTCGTACACAGCCCCTTGTTTTACTGCATGACCCTTCACATTCACCATACAAAGCTTCCCTCTATACTCAACAGCTTCCACAGCTTCTCTGCTAAACCTTCCATCTTTCAGACTAGCCATTTTTTCCCAGTTCCACTCAATCTTCTTCTTCTTCATGTCCCATTTCTCGACAGACCTCGCGACGTCACTGTCGTAATGTGAGCCGATACCACTTGCAACGTAGACTGAGCCACCGGCTGAGCCGACGGCGCACCACCGCCGTGGGGTGGGCAGTGGTGGGCCGAAGAACCATTGGCTTGATATTGGGTCGAAGGCTAGTGGGTGGGACAGGGCGGGGAGGAACTGGTGGCCGGTGGCAGCGATGAGGACCAAACGGCCTGAGACTGTCAGGGATTGAATAGGGATGGTTCGGGAAATGAAGGAAGGGTGGCGGTGGAGGAGGTGGAGAAGTGGGTCAGAAGGTGGAAATGGGAGGCGCCGCCATGTTGATGAAATGGGATCTAAAGAGAAGAATTGAAATGGGTTTAATTGGTTTTGATCTTGATCTTGGTTTTTTGGTTCTGGGAGAGGCGATTTTGATGAGAGAAGAGTGTAGAGAGAGAAGAAAGGAGGGAAGGAAGGAGAGTAGATGAAGCGACGCCATGAACGGCAAACACGGTGGAGGAGGGAAGGGTGGAGAGAGCAGAGGCAAAGCTGAGCAAGGTGGTTCGGTAGGCCTGGTAGTAGTGTAGATTCGTTGTTGGAGTCCGTGAGCTTATGGCTGTCATCGGCGGCGGCGGTGGCACAGTATTGGTATTTGCATCGTTTTGGGGATGTGTTCATGGCGGTGGTGGTGGTGGTGGTGGTGGTGGTGGTGGTGGGGGTTGTAATTTTGGAAGTGGCGCTCCTCATTGCTATCTATCTATGATTCTATATAAAGAAGTCGTGCTGTTGGCCATGGTCATTGGAGTGGTTGTGCTTTTTGTACTGTTCTCAACCTTTGATTTTATTTATTCCTTGAGCACTGACTTAATTGAAGTATAAATTAATTCAAATATTCTTCACCTTTGAAACAAAAAATTAAAAATAAAAATATAAGTAATGCTGTTAAAATCTAATTTATTAATTTAATACATTATATATAATTTTTGAATTGACAATAAATTTTATTAAATATTAAAATTTAATATTAATTTAATTGTTATAATAAAATTACATCATTAAGTCATTAAATTTTTAAATCTCAATAACATTACTCATCGAATAAATTCATTACTCATTGAATAATTTTTTTTTTATTTTACAATAAAAAGTTGTTCAGATCAACTTATGTGCACTTGTATTAATCTCTTCCCAAATTCAGTTAAAAACATGTAATTTATGTTGGAACTACGATATTCACGAGAGATAAATCTATCGTGATCTGACCCAAGAGATCAATAAAATTTAAACTCAAGACATCTGAATTTACGATTCGTCTCTATTACCATTTAATCTACCTCTTAAAGTGCATTGAATAAATATTAATGATGCATTTGATAACCTTTTTGTTTTAATTTTTTTTTTGTTTTTTATGTGATAAAAATTAAAAATATAAAATATGTTTGTTAGTCATTTATATTTAAAAAATTATGAAAACAAAAATAAAAATTTTGTCTGGTATTATAATAGTATTGTCATAATTCATTGGGATTTTTTTAATTAATTTTTCAATCCCAAATACATCTTCACCCAAATCATCGTCTCGACCATTCCAAAACCCATCACTTAACTCATCTGTTTGGCCACCATCAATACAACCAAAAACCCACCACCACCACCCATGTTTAGTCACCACCCAACTACTGAAAACTCACTATCCAACCCACCACCAACACCATCAAAATCCCACCATCCAATCCACCGAAAACCCAACTTCAATAACCCCAAAAACCCTACTGCAGCAGCCCTAAAAACCCAACTGCAGTAGCCCCGAAACCCACCACCACTGATGCACACAAACAGAGATGCATACACAAACACAGATGTTGAAATCAACCACAAAATAAAATGGAAATGAAGAAAAATTCCTAAATCTGCAAAAATAACACTTAAATTTTGAAAAAAATGAAAGGGTGAGCATGGCCAATTGAAAAGATGCAAGGGTAAGCGTTGAAGAAAGTGGAAAGCTTTGCCTGAGAAAAGCGAAGCCGGAGCTTTGCCGATTGGGATCCCACGGAGCTGTGAGCTTCACCACAGTCGTAGACCCAAAGACGAGAGAGAGAGAGAGAGCTTTGTTTTTAATTTATATAGTTGCTATAAAAATGTTCTATTTTTTGCTTTTAATGAAAGTCGAAGGCTGGATTTGATTAAAGACCTCCCCGAGGCCCACATATTTTCATTTTTCTATGTTTTCAAAAGCCTCATTTTTCTTGTTTTCAATATTCACCCTCGTTTCAAAACAACCCACTAACAAATAAAAATAAAAACATAAATCAAACGTATTATTATTTTAAATTTAAAAAAAAATTAAAAACAAAAAAGATTGAGTTATCAAACTCTACCTAAGTGTAACGATTACACTACATCATCAGCAATATTAATAATCATAAAAATGTTGAGCTGACAAATATGAGATGGATTTGAATTTGAAGACACCAAGAAGTTGAGCAACGTTTGGGGTTATAATTTTAACTTCAAAACTTGGTCCAAGGCACAACTTTTGTTCTGTTTTTAGCAAGTTGGGTAGCAACTTTTTGTTATTTTCTTCGATATCTTTCCTTTTTTTTTTTAACGGTGAGAGTGTTTGAATTAATTTATGCACACATCGATTAATTCTCTTTATGATCCAATCAAAGACAGATCGTCTACGTCAGAACACTACTATGTTGTCCAAATCAAAACCCAAATTTTATATCCTAAATACACGTGCACACCTTTTATTTTATGGGTCTGAAAAAATCAATTTTTTCATTTAATGTATGGTGAACATGCATTTAAAATACAAGGTTTAGGTTTTAATTTGGGTAACATACATTTCTCATTTTCTTTTTCTTCTCACCCACTTTATTTTTTCAAATTTTCTTTCACTTTGTTAAATTGAAGAAATCAGCCACTTACCCTGCTTTATTTTTATCAATTCATGAAATGAATATATATATATGATTTATCAATTTATATTCAAAAAAGATAAAGCTTATAATCTGGATATAGCAAAAGATAAAGCCTATAGTAAAAGAAAGACTTATTCTACACCTTATAAAAAGGGTCAAAAGTTCTATAAAAAGAATTATGCTAAGGATTACGAAACAACTAACAAAGCTACTAAAAGGGTCAAAGAAAAAGACAAGAAGTCTCTTATTAAATGTTTTAAGTGTGGAAAAGAGGGTCACATTGCCTCTAAATGTTTAACTAAACAACAGATAAATAAATTAATTAATGATGAAGACCTTAAAGAAAAAATCTTTAAAATTGTTTTAAACTCCGAAAGTGAGTTATAAGATAATTTTGATAATTTTTCTGAAGACTATAACATTAATGAAACTAATAATTCTTCTTCAAAAACAGAATCTTTAAGACAAGATAAAACTTGTTCTTTATAGTGTAAAGTTGAAAATAATTATTATAAGGCTATTCTAGTTATGAATGGATTAAGTATAAATACTTTGACTAAGTCATAAAATTTTATTCTTGATCTTATAGATAAAATTCAGGATCTATAGTCTAAAAGAAAAGTCATTGAACAATATTCAGAGATAAATCCAGAAGAAAAATGACCTAATCTGTCTCAACTATATTCATTAAAGGAAGTCTTTAATATAAATGAAAAGGACATGAGTAATAGCCTACTCCATATAAATGAAGTTTTACTTATTACGATTCAAAATATAAAGATAGAAATTAATGAAGTCAAAGAAGACATAAAAGTCTTAAAATCTAGATTATTAGCTTTAGAAAAAATTCAATCTAGAGAAAGTGACATACAAAATGATATAACATCACCATCACTATCTAACTTTGATGATAAAACATCACCAAATGAAAATATAAATGTTTTAGAAAAAATAACTTATCAAAAATAGTATGTTAAAATTATCTTAGTTATAAATTCTGAATTTATTGTCGAAACTATTACTTTAATTGACAGTGGTGCAGATATGAACTGCATAAAGGCAGGCTTAATTCCGACTAAATATTTTGAAAAAACTACTCAATTAGTAAGCGATGCTGATGGGTCAAAAGTAAATATTAATTTTAAACTTTCTAATATTTTGGTGTGTAATCAGGGAATTTGTATTCCTACCACTTTTATGCTCATTAATAATTTAAATCAATTGGTAATCTTATGAACACCATTTTTATCTTTAATCGAACCTATAGAAAGGATTGACTCTAAAGGAATTTTGAATACCATAAATAGTCAACAAATATTAATTGAGTTTATAACTCCACTTCAAATAAAATTGATAAATCAAATAAAAGAAAATTTGATTTATAAAGAAAATCAATTACATTTTTCATCCTCTTCTAACATATTAAAAGGTGATGTTTATTTTGCAGGACAAGTCCAAAAAATTATAGAAATGAATCATAACCCAGATTCATTTTCTTTGAATCTTATTGCCAAATTCCTTAAACTTCTTGACTGTTTTTGTGATTATGCAAGAGAAGATGTTTATAGCTTTTCCTCCACATGGAATACTAATAACTACAAAGTTACACTTTGGTGTCTCTATTGAAATGCTATGGCAGATCAATTAATTGATCATACACCTATTTTTTTATTAAGAATTGCAAGACGTCAAAATGAGTCTTTAAAAGCAGGTTTAAAGTTCCATCTTATTTTTGAAATTAATGACTGACATTATAAACAATTACTAGAGACTATCGTCCCAGAAGAATTTTGCTAAGAAATGATAAATAAACTTGGTGGTATAACTGTTAGAACCTAAGTTTTTGCATATAAAAATGCAAATTATGCTGATGACTATAAAGATGTTTTTTATGCATATAGAAGTGCATATTATTTTAATTCATATTAGGATGATCATTATTTTAATGCATATAAAAATACTTATTATCCTCCACTTTCTATAAAGCCATTATCGCATAAAGGTGATATGGATGATAACCCGTCAAAATAACTTAAAGTTGTTGCTTCTTGTCAAATAAAATTGACAATAACGAACAAATGTCAGGAGATAAATCTTTTTCAATTATTCCAAAATCTTTGACTTTGTTTCCATATAAGGAGCTTCATAATTTCAATGAAAGGATATATCCTTATAATATTAATAATCCCAGACAAATCAGGGAATATTTAGTCCACTTTGTGGAAAATTACCCGCTTGAATTTAAAAGTAAAATCATAGCGGAATGTTTTAAAGACATAGATAAAGAAGAAGATAAAGCTTCATCTTCTACATCAGTGGTTCCCTTTACCAGTATAAAAACTGGAACTAATTTAAACACTGTTGAAGTTCTTAAAGAACTAATTAAGAAAGAAAAACCTCATTTAAATTCTGAGTAGCTTAAAGCAGCAATTATTGAAAAATTTGGCTTTCAGATCATGTCTACTTTTGGCATGAGTAAAATAGAGAAGATGAATCTCGTCAACACTCCTACAGTTGTCATAAAAGGCAAAGGAAAAGATAAAATTGAGGAAGACAATAAGAAATCTTCCACTCCTATTAATTCTGATGACAATTTTATAGATTCTCAGGGATATACTCCTCTTAAAGGTTACATTGAAATTAATGAATCCTTGCTAAATGAAGATTTGTTAAATGTTCCCTTTATCTAGATTTGTCATCATGGTGATTTATCTCCATATCAACATTTAACAAAATGACTTTTATTTTTCGCGATTTAGATCGCTTTAAATTTTATTTTAAAGTTAATCTAACGGTTAATATTAACACCTTAAATTTAATAGAAAAAAGAGCCACTAAGGGTGTGTTTGGAGTGACTTTTTAAAAATATTTCTAAGAATTATTTCTTATAAGTACTTTTAGAAAAAAATAGTGTACGAAACCGCCGCACTACTACCTCTACCACCACCACTACCTCTACCACCACCGCCACCGCCGCCGCCAATGCCACCACCTCCGCCATTGCTACTGCCACTATCACCTTCATCGCTACCACCACCACCACCACCCCCACCACGGTCATTGTCACCCATCACAACCATCATCGTCTCTTACCACCATCTCCAAAACTGGATCTATTAGTGAGCTAAGGTGGGCTGAAGTCCAAAGTAAAAAAAAAAAAATTACCACTAACTCAACTCAAAGCAACGGTTACCTGCAAATTCCCCAAAATAGTCTCTTCTCTCTCTCAAACGGTCTCTCTCAGTCTCTTCTCTCGGTCACTTCCCCCAAAATCATGTCGAATACATGTCGGAAGTATCTTCTCTCTCAAGCGGCCAGTCACTTCCCCCAAAATCATGCCATAAACTGTTTGATCAAATGCCCCAAAATCATGCCACAAGCTGTTTGATCAGGCGGCCAATCATTTCCCCAAAAATCGGTAAAATGCCCACAAGCTGTTCGATCAAATGCCTCTAAATCACACACACATCTATTTTTCCGGCAACTGTTCGAATCAAATGCCCAAGTTCATACTGTTATGAGGTTGAGTAGGCTGAGGTTCATAATAGAGCATAATAGCAAGCTCATGGAGTAGGCTGTTCGCTGTTATCAGTCGAATCAAATGCCCGTATGGTAATGGAGTAGGCTGAGGTGAGGATTTCTTAATGCTCTAGCAAGTTCATACTGTTCGAAACCTGAATTTATATGCATAAGAAGTTGATCTCTTGCTTATTTGCAGGTTGTGCGAGGAGATTTTATCGTTTTCTTTAATCAAATCTTCGATGCTCTCAGTAAACTCTGGGCAGATTCAGATCCCAATGTACAGAGTGCTGCACATCTTTTAGACAGACTTGTAAAGGTGAACAATTAAATTTTCTCCACTCATCTAGGCTTGTTCCTATTGTATCAAGTATTAACAATACGTTTTAACTTGATGTCTTCCGGTTGTTTTTCAATCTTCAAATAGAGGGTATTAAAGTTCAGTTCTTCGCATGAAATAAAACTTTTCTTATTACATTTTGCATTTCTGGTTTCAATTTTCGTTCCTTCTGCCTTGTTTCTGGTGTTGTCCTCATCTATAAAAGTGTTTACTTATTAGTATTGATAGAAAATACAGTATTTGATAGAGGACAATTACAGAAAATACAGAAAATATTTGACCATACTAGATGCTATGTGATGAACTCCAGAACTAGTGATAGCACCCATATCCCAGTCTTGAGCTTCACCAACCAAAAAAAGTGGTACGGTCTCTCATATCTAAGTTCAAACAAGTAAACCAAGCTAGAGGAATGACTCATCAAAAAATCGGATCAAAAAATTTGATGGAATACATCGCTAAGTGTTTATGAGTTTACATTTGTATTATTATATATATGTTTATGAGTTTACATTTGTATTTTGTTAGTCATATGAATACTTAGTTTAGCTTGAGATAAATAAAAATTTTGGCTCGGCCCTTGACCACCATTGTCGCCCACCACCTCTCACCCTCACTGTAACTGATGTTTGAATTCATTTATTTCTCCTCTGTGTTTGTAATTTAATTTTGAATATGAATATAAATATGTTTGTTATTTATCATTTTTTATCACTCTGTACTTTTAGGTACAGACAATAACTAATATATTTATATAATAAAGTAGTTTATAATTCAAATTTTAAAAGATAAATAAAATGACTTTTATTTTTTGCAGTTCCGATCGTTTTAAATTTTATTTTAAAGTTAATCTAACGGCTAATATTAACACCCTAAATTTAATAGGAAAAATAGGGCTCTAAGGGCGTGTTTGGAGTGATTTTTTAAAATTACTTTTAGAAATTATTTTTCATAAATACTTAAAAAAAAATAGTGTTTTTAAAATAGCCCTACCACTACCTCTACCGCCACTGCCACCACCATCACCACCACAGCCATCATCGTCACCACCACCGCCCTTACCCCTATCACCATTGCCACCACCACAACCACCACCGCTGTCGTCACCACCACCGCCACCATCCCCACCTCCTCCACCACCGCCACCCCCACTATTGCCACCACCACCCCCACTATTGTCGTCGCCGTTGCCACCACAGCCATCATTACTGTTACCACTGTCATTGCCACTCACCACAATCATTACCGTCTCCTACCATCACCACTGTCGCCCACCACCTCTCACACTCACTACAAATCGATGCTTAAATTTCTTTATATCTTCTTTTTTTGTGATTTAATTTTGGATATAAATATAAATATATTTATTATTTACCATTTTTTATTACTCTGTGCCTTTAGCCACAGGAAGTAACTAGTAATTATATATTTAGTCTATTTTTTTTATTTAAATTTTGTTTAGACCAAAAGAAACCTAGTTTTGTTGTATCATATATTAACTGAGCCCTGAATTTTAATACATTTTTTTGGTGTTTAAACTTAAAATTTTCTTTCTTTCAACTATTGAATTATTTTCCGTCATATTTTGTCCCTTCTTAGGCAAATTCGCGACACTGCCCTATAAATGCCTAATCTATAAACATACAAAGTTCTGTCATGCAAGATTTAAAATCCAAATAGTTTAAGCATCCAAAAACACAACACAAAAAATGACATGATTAATCTCAAATATTATAATCGACCAGAAAGTTTCAACATTTAAAAGTTAAGTTACAATTTTCAGAAGAAGTTCATGATTGATCATGAATTTAATCAAGGAGTTATAACATTATCTTTAAAAACTGTAATTTACTCACTAAAAATAGTAATTATCAACGGGATAATTATTTTTTTTCGGTACAATAGAATTACCCAGAGAAAAAATGAAGTGAAAACCTTGTTTGCAATCACAATACATGATGAAGATTGATTCTATGGGCATGCTAATATTCAACAAAGTGATCCAAATATGCATTTTTTTTTGTTTTGTTTTGAGAAGTCATGGAAAAATGAAGAAGAGAAACTATAGGTCTCAAAGACTCTAAAATCAACTTTAATGCAGTGTTCATAGATTTTCATACAAAGTATAACTATAAATCTGAAATTTTTGTAACAGTCATTAGTCCAAAAGACATCTAATGAAGACGGTTTTTTTATCATGAAAATATTTTCAAAATATGAAAAATAAAAAGGTTTTGGTTTGCAAATCATCCTCCAAATTTGTTGAAAATTTTTCCATCAGTTGACAGGACATCATGGATTGAGATCCTCTATTATTTTTTTTTACATAATTTTATTCAGTCGTAAATTACCGATCATGTATTCACGTAAAACCCATTATTTATATATAGGTCATTCATTCATATATAGGTAATGATCTATCATTGAATAAAATCGAGTAAAAGTATAATAGAGAAGATTGAGTAAAAGTATAATGAAGAAGATTTAGATTTGGACATCAGCTTTCATCCCTCTCACAAAAATGCATATCCCGTATCCATGGCGTAATCAGCATTAACATGTAATTTATGGGTAAGATCATCACGGTACAACAAGAAATATCGTACCAAAATTTATAATTTTTCAGATCAAGTTACAGATAAATGATTTTAAATTATGACAAAAATATTTGAAGATCAATCCTAGATGTTAAAGATTGATACCAAATAACTCTATTTTGTTGTAATTCGATTCAAAAAATTGTAAATTTTATAATGATACAAAGAAAATGTGAAGAAAATAAATACCCATTTTTCGTTTGCATTTTGCAAGCTGAAATTCATAAGAAGTTTTTAATGGAAATTTCACATTCCTTGGAGGAGATAATTCACCGACGACTCTTCTCCTCCGCCATGTTCTCCATTCTGGCCTCCACTATCCTCACCTTTCACCACCACTGCCGCCTCCCCAAAGTGCACGTGCCGTCCGTCTTTAGGAGAATTCTCAGGCGGCTCATCATTGCTTGGCAGTACCGCCGTGTTGGCGGTCTTTGGTGGTGGTGGTGTTGCAAGGCTGCCACGCCGGGAAATCTGGCGGTCGTCGACGGGGGTGCGGCGGAAACAAGCTTTGATACAGGTGTAGATGTAGGTTAGAAACCAGAAAATCCATGGCGAGCCTATTAATAAGAATGCAGCCATGGGAAACCATGGCTCAGAAAGGTTGGGAACGTAGACGTAGACAACAAGGAAGACTCCACCGGATATTACAAACAGGCAGAATAGAGCGGAGATGAGAGGGACTCTAATATCTCCTTCTCTTTCCTCCTCCATTGATATTGTCCTTACAATCTCTCTTTCTCTCTCTCTCTCTCTCTCTCTAATTATCCTCTCTCTTCTACTTCTTTCCTTGTTCTTTATCTTCCTTCCCCCATGGTGGTTTGAGTTGGGAAAACACGAGTATTTCCTTTTTTCTCTCTCTTCTACTCTTTATCTTCCTTCCATGGTGGTTTGAGTTTGCTAAATAACCTTAAATTCAACAACTTCTGTTTCTCTCTCTCTCTCTTTTCCTTGTAGGGTTGTTGCAGCAAAACAACAATATTATGATGGACAGATCCAAAACAGAAACAAAAGAGCGTGGAAAACAGAGGTAGAATGGTGATGTTCATTCAGAATGATTGACAACAAATGTTACACATCTTGTTTTGAGAGATAGAGAGCTAATTGATCGGCTGTAGGTAGTTTGCTGTTAAATTGATTGTCAAAACGGCGCTGTTTTGAGAAACAACACCTCCTCCACGGAAGAGCTCGATCTTTAATTGAACACGGTCTATAGATTGTGATGGTGATAGTTGTCTCACGTGGCAAAATTTGTTAGCATTTAGCATTCCCCATTTTTAGGATTTCATTTAAACAAAAAAAAAGATGTGAATTGTTATGTATGGATATGAATTATTATTACTATTATTTTTTTTTTGTAGAAGGTAAGTTTGGAATATATGTTATTTTGATCCGACATCATTATTTTCATTAAATATATTATTTAGAATAATGGAGTGATAGTTGTATTACAAAAATTAAAATGAGGAATTGCTGTATTGATATTGAAATATCAAAGGATAATAGTATTTTTTTTTTTTGACATTGACTAGTAAGTGTATAGTGTTTTCAAAGGATAATATTATTAAGATTTAATTTGGAGACCAAATACACTATTAACATTGAAATTAGTAGTAAGTCCTAGCATTAGAAGGGTTCAATGCCAATCTAGGGAAAATACTGTTTAAAATCAATTTGGGGGTATAATTTAGCATTGACTTTTGTATATTAATGTTATAAAGGATACGTATGAAGATGCACTGACTTTAGTGAGAACAACGGCAAGAGAGATTAAGAAATTTCTAATTACTGGAGATTTACATCAGGTTTCCGCTTTAAGTCCTTATCTTTTTACGTTGACTATGGATGAATTGACTAGGTACATTCAGGATGAGCTCCTATTGTGTATATTATTTGCGCATGATATTGTACTAGTTGATGAAAATAAAGAAAGAATTAATAATAAACTAAAAAGTTGGCGAGAAATCTTAGAATAAAAAAGATTTAGGATAAGTAAGACTAAAAGTAAGTATATGAAATTTAACTTTAGTAAAAGAATAAATCAAAATCAGGAAGTAGTGAAAATTGAAGATCGAGAGATACCAAAAAGTAAATGAAAGAATGCATCTGGCATATTGTGTGATATATGTATATCCCTCCTTAAATTAAAAGGAAAATTATATAGAACGACTATAAGAACTATTATGCTTTACAATACTGAGTGTTGAACAACTAAGAAACAATATGTTCAAATGTTGTGTGTGACATAAATAAGAATGTTAAAATAAATGTGTGGCAAAACTAGGAAAGATAAAATTGAAGATAAATTAAGGAAGAATTGACTTAGGTGGTTTGGATTTTGGACATATTTATAGACTACTTCCTATGTCACCAATGAGAAAGAGTGATATTGTAGCTATTTAAGGTAAATGTAGGATAGAGGAATAGCAAAATTAATTTTAAATGACATTGTAAAAAAAAATGATATGATAATTTATAATTTAATTAAAAACATTGTCCTTGATAAAGTTTAATGGCGAACATGATTTATGTAGTTGACCCAAAAAAACATTGAGACAAAATTTGGTTGAATTGAGAATTTAGCATTGCTCTTAGTATTGGATTAAATTTACATATTAGTTCTCAAAATTAAATACAAGTGAAATTTTTTTTAATTTCAATAGGGGAGAAAGCTGAATAAATTCAAAAGGGGCCATATGGTTATTTCCTAAAGTGATTGGGCGAAGTACAAATGAGCCTAAGTGAAGGGTTAAACTGAAATTTTCCCTATGCTCCTTTTTGGGAGAAAATATTGTGTGCTCACCAAATAAAAGTTGATAGTATCATATATCATTTATGAAATATTAGTCATAACTCGTGTTTAAAGGTACGATAAAATATAAGATTCAAACATTCAAAAAATTAATCACATTATATCAAATAATAATTTTTCTTTTCTTTTCTTTGATTACATCATCTAAAATTAATTTCTACCCATTATTTTAAAAAAAAAATATCTACAAAATTTTCATAAAATATAAAATCAGTCAAAATTTTCTCAATATGTGTACATTATCATGTATGAACAATGTCTGAAATAAAAATTATGTTAAATTATAAATTAATCAAGTATTAAATAATTAAACATGTGATAGAAATGAGTGATGTGATATTTTTTGAAAAAAAATAAAAAGAAGGATAAAAATTTTAGTTTCTATGTATTTTATTAAATAGATTGTACATTCCCAATTAATTTCTGTCAATGTCAAATTGTCAATTCTTTTTTGTAAAAATCACTTGTGAGTTTAACAAATAGGTATTCCAACAACTTATAATTGGGTTAGACCGGTGATAATGTCACATGATACCTTATAAACACCGAATATTTCCTCCTATTTTTATATGTCTAGGCTCTGACCAAAGTAGGACTAGTTTGGTTCCTTGGATTGGAAGGATATTCAATCCAATCCAATATAGTTATTAAATTGAAAGTGGACTTTATATTGATGACGTATAGACTCGAAATGTGAGGGGAATGCTTAAGTTGAAGAGCTTTAAGGCTTATGAGCAGTAGTGTGCAAGTGATTTAGTGGAGAAAGAAGATGATTGGAGATGGAGCCCGGTAGCTCTACCCAATACTACAGTAAAATCAGTGAATATAGTACGAGCTAAGAATAATAAGAACACACAGATTATAGTCGTTTACTAGATGAAAAACTTAGCTAATTCACTCTAATAGAGTCTGTTACTCTTTAAAAAAATTGTATATTACTTGTAGAAGAAGATAGAGTTGAAATTTTTTCAATGTCTTTACATGAAGAAGACCTTTGTATTTATATCCATAGATAGGGGTATCCATGGGCCAAGTTACCCACGGGTCTCGTTACTCGACCCGAAGTCCGAAAGTTGGTCCGCTCGAGTCCGAGCCTAATATCCTTAAAAAGAGGGTTTCGATTTGTCCCCAAACCCATTACCTGGCCCGAAGCTCGGCCCAAGAGCCTGCCCACGAGCCCAGTCCACCCCCACCATTCTTTTGAAAAAAAGTTATACTTTCAGACCATTAAATTTGAAATTTTGAAATAAGTCTCCCAATATTGAAATTTGAAGTTTTAAAAATTTAGATATTATAAATAATTTATTATTTTCTTTTCCATGTATTAAGCATATAAATTTTAAATGGTAGAGTAATGCAAATAACAGATAAGTTAGTAGGTGTCAACCTAATTGAGATTTATTCATTCTATTGTTCATTATTTTATTTTTATCCATTTTAACTTTACTTTTAATTCAAAAATATAATTTACACAAATATTAAGTTATAAAAATATTCATTATTTTTAAATAAATATGTATATAAAAAAACCCACAAATAGGCCCGCTAGGCAAGCCCGCCTAGTAGGCTCATGGTTGGGACCCGCCCGATAACTCATGTGGATAAGGCCTTGAGCCTACACTACCTAGCCTAGCCCGAAAAAATTTCACGGGCCTACCCCGGCCCGGCTCGGCCCATGGACACCCCTATCCAAATATAGGGTGGTCCTCGTATCATCGAGCAATACTATTGAAACAAAATTTAAGAATATAATTTGAGGATATAATGAATTGTCACAAATGAAATGATAATGAATTCATTTAATGTTACAATGGAACCCATCATTAAATGCATTTCACTATCATTTCATTGGTGACAACTCATTATATCTCCAAATTATGTCTTTCAATTATGTTCTAATAGCATTAATATATATCATCATTACATGATCCTCAAGTTTATTAAAATTTTGTTAAAGGAATATTAGACCATTAGAAATTATATTCCCTAAGTGTGACATGACTTTTTAGAACATGTCAGTGCCGACCCAACCTTTAGGCCAGTTAGGCCATTGCCTAGGGCCCCCAAATTGGAAGAAATATTTGGGGCCCCAAGAATAAAATAAATAATGATTTATAATAAAAATTTTAGAATATAATTTAAATACTCAATATACTTTAATCATTGAATTAATAGTGAGTACTAACTTTAAACAAAATTCACTATTTATCTAATGTATTTGGTCTTCAAATTAAGTGCAACTAGCATTATTTTAAAATTTTTAGAATCTCTTTCAAAAAAATTTAGAGCCTTAAAGTTCAACTTATTTTATTATCGCATCCGATATTTATATTATATATATTCTCACTTTGCAGTCTTATTATTAAAATCAATTGTCTATAGTATAATAGGTATGAACAATAATTTTACATTTGTATAAATTACATTTGAGGTTATTTTTTAATAATTTTGTTTACAATGCACAAGATGACTATAAATAGAGTGAGTAGAAGTAATGCTCTAGCTATTTTTTTTATTTAAAAATAACTCTTTTTCTTTATGATATCTAATAAGCAGGGATAACTCGTGCCATCAGGCACAGTGCATTATAAGTGAAAAATGATATATTTAAGGAAAAAAATTCAATTTGAATAGATTTAAGAGAGATGTTAGTAGTCATTGAATAAGTCTATTTGAAATTGTCAAATAAACTTTTTGAAACCTGCCTTTTTTATATTGTAGAAGTCTCATATATTTTAGAACTGCTCAATTTGTATAAATTTCTATTTTTATATACATTTAAGAAAAAAATTATTTTACTAGTCAAACTAATTTTCAATTATGCTTCTCTTTTATCTTAAACAAATAGTATGTATCATTGTATTTGATCTCCGTATTTTACTTTGATTAATACAATTTTTATTTGTAAAATTTAATTAGTATGTTATATCTCAAAAAAAAAAACAAATAATTTGTAAATAACCATATTTTAATAAGTATTTAATATTATTATTATTACTGAATAAATATTTATAGGATTTCATATAACATTTTTGCCTAGGACTCCAAATTAGGTTGGGCCACCCCTCGAACATGTTGAGATGACGTTGTAATCTGTCTTCTAACTTGGATGTGTTGGGGTCCTCCACATCTCTGAACGAGCCTGCTGTGAGGTCGTTGCTTAAGGAACGACCTCCCATTCCATTAGCTAGCTCATGAATAGGAGAGCGAGGCCCCATTATCTGTCTTGAGTTAGAAATACTAATTCTCCTCGTGATGTGATCGACGTTGGCGAATTAGACACCAGTACCTAAAGTTGTTCTTCGGACTTAGAATTTTTTAATTGAGGATGTACGTGAACAACCTTGACCTTTAATCTAGGAGTGGAAGTATGGCCATAAGTGATGATGCACAAATTGGTTTACACACTACCTATCAGATAAGTAGTATAAATGCAATAAAATAAGTAGAGGGAGAGCGAAGACAAAGTTTATAGTGGTTTGATTAATATAACCTACGTCCACTTTGAATAGCAAAGGTCGTCGGTATTTTATTAACTCCGGTGTGTAGAAAGAGCAAAAAATTATAAACTTTGAGAAGGAGAGGAAAGAATTATACTCAAATGATTGTGATGCCCCAAGTGTTAGTGGGACTTACAATTTATTGTCGCTCAGCATAGTAATTGAATAGCTAGTCTGACGGTCATAACGGATTACAGTGACTTAATAGTAATTAAGTAGCTGATCCGGCGGAGGCGGCAACCTCTTCTCAACGGGCGAGTCAGTTATAATACTCTCCATAGGACTCGGTCAAAAGATAAGATGAGGGTTGACTTCTTCTAGTGCGGCTTGGATGAGGTTCTTGAGATGACCTTTACTCTAAGGTGGTAGAGGAAGCTCTTGGATGACCCTTATTCTAAGGTGACGAGAAGGAGACTCTTAAATGACCCTTACTCCAATGTAGTAGAGGAGAAGACTCTAAGATGACTCTTGCATGCTTTCCTACTAATGTAGCTCATTGAGTTTGACCAAATTGATCACATTGAATTAGACTTGTTGGATCTCTTAGAAATAAACTTTTAACTTAACTCAGACTAGGCTTGTAAACTGAGTTGGATCCTTGGGCTTGGCCCAAAGGTCGGGAGGTCGGGACATAAATCGTTTCCGTTGGCCTTTTTACGGCCCAGTTATTTAGATATTTTTTTATTTATTCTGTGATGTCATTTTTTATTATCATCACATATAATATTAAAATTTACGGCTAATTTAATCATAAATGTTATATCGCGGAATACATATTTTTTCCATCCAATTATTTTCTTAAAATAAAGATATATTATATTTTAATTTAATTGTATGGAATTAAATTGATTATCAAATCAATCCAATTACCAAACGGTTCGAACAGAGCTACGAAGGAGGAGGCTGCTTGATCGAACTAAGAGACGGAATCAGATTCATCAGGCGGAGAAAAGTAAAAGGAAAAAAGAATTTATTTGATCATCTATTGTTGTTCGGTGATGAGTAATTTCTACATATCAATGTTGTTCATCTTCTGGGCAATTCTTTTGTGTTCTAATGAAGTCCTCGCAAAAAAATCTCGTATCCCAATCTCTGTAAGCTTTTAAATTTCCATGAATTTCAATCGAGTTTTTCTTTTCAATCTCTCTCTAAAGTTTAGGGTTTTGTTTCCTTTTGGGAAATATTAAAGGATAGTGAAATTCGAGAAATGAAAATCCAATGCTATGCAGACATTGAAAGTTATGATCTTTTTTCGTAATTTTGTTTGTTTCCTGAGAAAATTCTGGAATTTTTTTTTGGGATTTCTATAATTTCTCTGATCTTCGATATCTTTCGTTATAATTACAACCATTGGATTGGAAAGAAAATATTTGAATTCTAATCTGAATTTCCTTGTTGATAAATATCCTGAGTCATAGGTTTGTGTTTATATGTGGGGATTTGTTTGTATTGATAAATTGATTTGTATGTATGATTATTGTATCTTATTGCTGTTTTGTGCGTGCAATTGTATTGGAAAGTGGATTGTGGGGTAGGCAATGCAAGTCTTCAACAGTAGCAAAGGAGAACTGCGCTTTAAAATGCCTTTCACCGGCTTGTTATGAGCTCATTTACGAGAATGATCCGGTGAGGGACTGATGAACTAATGTTTTTCTTCTGTTTATACCATGTATTTTAATGATCCTAAATTTGTGGACTGGTTTTGTTTTGTTATTAGTTGGAAGAAGGAGAGAAAGATTATACAAGGAGTCAAGAGTACAAGTACTGTATGCACAGGTAAAGTTATGATATTTGAAGATATGCCATTGTGTTCCTAAGTTAATGCTTTATGTTATTGTCATTAAACTTGATGCCAATGAATTGAGAGATGATATATTGACCATGTTGGGAGTGTTCTCTTATCATGATTATAAGCTTTATTTGATTGTTCTTTACAGGGATGGATATGTTGTTTCTCTCGAAGTACAGTGGCTGTAGAGGGTAACAATGTTGAACTTTCAGAAATCTTATGTTTGGCATGACCAAGTATAGCAACAAAAGACTGTTGATTGTAGATATCCAACAGAGATTCGACATACCATTTATAAGCGTAGAAAAAAGGGTATTTTGTATATTGGCATTTGATGATATTTAGGTTCCCATTTTCCATTTCTTGGATGAATAATTTTTTGGGGCTTGGGAAGCTGGTGCTTGGAGATGCTGACTGTAGTCTAGTTGGTAAATGCATGTTGACCTAAAATTTAGTAAGATAACGATACTGCTGCCAAGCTTTTACCACACCAAGTACATCACAATTACAATTTGTCCATATAACAAGGACTGCTGAAGTTTGTACTCATTACATGGTTAGTGGCAAGAGATATGAGCAAAATCGCAGGAATGATTTTTGTTTGATCCTATCAATGCAATCGAGGGACAAGATTTTAGAAAACCAACTAGATGATTCAGTCTTGCGTATTGAAACCTAGTGGCTGTACTGGGAAAGAGTTAATTAGATCTATGGCTTAAGTTTGAAGTGTTAATGATGAAAGGGAAGGAAAATATCTATGCAAGTATTGGGTGTTTGCCACGAGATGGTTGCCTATTAGTTTTAGTTAACACGAGCTATTACCCTCATGGCCTCACCACACTAAGATGGTGAATATGGAGGTCAACAAGAAGTCAGCTAATCGGCTCTTAGTAACTGTGCATGACTTTTGTTGAGTTCGGCTGCCGTCTTAGCCTTTGCTATTGTAACTAGGACTACTGAATGAACCAGACTGCTTATAAACAGCTTGAGTGCAGTCTGTTATAAGTACCATTGACCTACTGGTAGAGCCACTAATAATGGATGTATGCAATCGCTACTTTGTCTGGGGCTGCACATATTGGAAACCAGACAATAGACCTTGCTGTGACAGGTGGGGGGCCAGCTAGGACTTTCTTTAGAACAAGGTTCTGCAAGCCACTACAGTAGATCGTCACATTTTCTTCTTTGCCCTAGTTCACCAATAGGTCCTCTCACTAGTATTTTTGATCAAGAGGGAGAGGCAACCTGTTAAATGTACTTTTCTGGAGAGGCGATGGGCCAGAAATATTTCTTTTGGGAGACAATTACGAAGTGCTAGCAACCCATTATAGAACCTCTTGATTCGGCTACTTGATTGAGGAATGAGCACTGTTGATTGCCGCGTTACTTATGATCCAGCCGCATTCTATTTTGTCATATTTATCTATTTCCATTTACTGTATCAAACTATTATTCACTGATTACAATATACCTATATTTTTAATCTTCGGGGTTCTTGCGTATGAAGCAAGCAACTTTTGCCTTTGCATACAGGCAGCCTAGTGAGCAACAGATTTGACTGCATTTGGGTTTTAGATAAACTCAATTCTTAAGTTGCAATACACTTTAGGCTTAGAAATCATGAGACCAATCCTGGGAAGGTGTCTTGCATGGGCCAGAATTATTATTGATTTCATGTTCTAATGAACTTTCAGCACAAATTGCTTCGGCAACTCCTGCAAGATACCTCATTCAAGTATTGTCTCTGAATTCTCCTTGATGCCACATCATTCCTTGTCAGACATTTACAAGTCCACATTGACCCAAAGCTACTATGGGTCAGTCACGTCTGTACTAGGCTCTAATAGGTGACAATTATAGCTTCATTTGGATCTTGTGTTTGAATATCTGCGGATGTATAGTTGGTGACTTGGTGGCCTTTCTAGTGTTGGCTTCTCACTTATAATTTCACTTATTCTTCTCTTTTGTCTGCTCTCTCTCACTTTGAGTTGTTTTAGTTATGTAGAAGAGAGCTGCCTGGCTAATTTGACAAAACTTACTTTGATTGGTACTGAAAGTGAAATTAATCAACTGAATCAACTACTTTGGGTTGGGTTGGCTGCAGTAATCCTTCTAGCCTTTTGGTCCTAATATGGGGATGAATTTGTGGTGTTCTTATTTCTTTTCTCATTGCCACAATCCATGGTCATGTGCCTTCCTTTGTTCCTTTTTCATTGCTCTGAACTGGTGCATTCACCAGTCTTATTCAAGTATAACCACCTAGGATAAAATAATCTAGACGAGTTTCCCTCAACTTGCCTCAGTTTGTGTTCTACATGTAACTTTTCATAAATTGTAGCAATATCTCAAATAACAATTCTGTTCAAGTATTGACTGTTTGGTGTGTACATCATCTGCCCCTCCTTGCAACCTCAGTTATCAGGAACTTAATTGAGGAATTACCATTATATCACCGAGTTGGGGTTTCATAGGAGGGTTCTTAGTTTGGAGGGGTACTGCTTGAGATCCTTTTCCCTGGTTTTTTTTTGGCATATTTGGCATGAAAGTACTCTGATGCTGACACTTTGATGAGGATAAAAAGGAAAACTGGCATTTCATTGCTAGTTTTCATTGCTAGTGGAGAAAACCTTCTAGAGTAACATTGTGGATCTCACTTATACCCAATTGGTTTTGGATTAGATATGTTAACATGAGATCACAGCCCTGGTGTTTTGGGAGGTTATCGCACGTCATCCTGTATGCTGGTTACACCTTTCATTTAGTATTCTGTTAGTATGGTATTGTGTTTAGTTAATACGTTGATGTTATGTCATGTTTGTCTCTTCACGTTCAAGCATGGATGTCTAATGATCACGCTTAGTTTAAGAATAATGCCTTTTCTATTGCATATATGTTTGATTCTTAATTGTTATGTGAACAACTCCAAAATGATGTCTCATGTGCAAGTTTTTTGAAACTTTTTCTCCATCATTGTCAGTGTAGGAATTCAGGTGTAAAGGAAGGAGAAAAAGGGGGGGTGGATTTGATTTTGGGGTTTCCTCTTGAGACTGATTGTTAAGGACATGAAGTTCCATAACAAAGACTTTGTTGAGTTGAGTAATTGTCTTTAAACTGATAATAAAATTGTGATACTTTTTTAAATGAGAGTGGAAACCTCTACACTAGTGGCTTTATTTTCTCTTTCTTTTTTTTTTGGTTTATAGTTTGCCTCCATCTTTAGCTTTTCTAGTCTGCCTTCAACTTCTTATACATGTTTGGTCTATTTGGTATGTCCATGCAGGTTTCTTTTCTTCCCTATTTTTTTTTCTTTTCACTAAACATTTAAATAACCAACTTCTATTATTGTTTGTACTGGCAGATTATCACTAGGAGAGAGCCTGGATGGTGTCAAAGGGTCATTCGACATTTAGTGTATCTAAGGTGATTGCGTTTATGAATGTATTTGCAAGATGTATCTCTGTTTTGCACTGTTATCTTCATAAAAATCGCTCGTTCCTCGGTTCCTGGCGAAAAATATCTAAATGAATGCTGTTATTGAGAGGGAAAAAAATATTTTTCCGAACGCTCATGTATGTTTTGAATATATAATTTACTTCTTTAGTTAAAAAAAGAAATCTATAAAAATTACTTTCCAAAAATAAAAAATAACCTTTAAAATTGGTGGTTTTGGAGTGATTTCAAACCAATGGGTGCACTTGCCCACCTTGTCACTTAATCCCCTGATTTGGACCCATTTTTATGGTAAATCTCACTTGTGGCATGGTCCAATGAGCATTTGTCATTCTACTAATGATTACGTTACATCCAAATAAAAAATGCGAATACTACCCACAAAGAGAAGAAAAGGTAGATTAATAATTTGGAAGGATTTTATTTTGCAACCTGAAGGATTTAAGATTTTTTTACTTTGTACCTTCAAAGATTAGATTTTGTACATTATATTGTTAATGTATTAAAAGTGTTATAATATGACAGTTCCTTAACTTCAATTACTTATTTTGTCAAAAATTACTCTATTGATCTTGATAGAATGAATAACGAAAACTAAAAAAGAGATTATATTACAACACTTTTAATACATTGAAGGCGTAATATGAGGCATTTAATCTGAGGTTGTAAAATAATATATTTTTAAATCTTTCAGGGTGTATAAGTAAAATTTGCCCTAATAATTTTTTCAAGAGTTATAAAAATTTGGGTTTTATTTATTTATTTTTGGTCAAGACAAGAATTTGGGTTTGAATTTCACTTTTTTACCACATAGAATCCTACTTGAATTTCCCCAAATGTAGCTTAGTCATCCAAATTTATGTAGATTTACTTATTATATTTTTCTTTATTCTTTCAAGAAGGATCATGAATTTTCAGAAGTGAATTCAAATAGTAAGTCGTAAATTGAGTAATTTTTAAAATAACGGTAAACTTGACAAAACATTATAAACAGTCCTTCAATAAAAAGTCGGTCTATTGCACGATTCTTTTTAAGCACGGCGAGAATGAAAAAAAGTTACATGTATTCAATTAAATCACTTGTGCACGGTAACAAATTTTGTAACTACTCGAATTAATAACAAGTGATCTATTTTTATAACTCGGAATCATAACATATAAATCATAATGAAACAATCTCTTTGATATCAACCCTGGATTGGATTCCCGTCAAGCCAAGAAGAAAAGTCTAGTAAACCAACCTACAATTGCATCTACACTTCAGTGAAGAAAATGAAACATGGGGGGGGGGGGGGAATGTAATTCATTCAATGTGAAAACAGAGGACTTTGTTATTGAATTAGATATGGTACTAAAATTAACTATATTTTAGTTAAAATACAAAATTTTGAATTTATACCCTTAAAAATTAAAAATATTTCAATGTGACATTTCTATTAAATTTTGTTATTTTTTTAGTCAAATATTTATTCATTGACATTGATAAAAAAATTAACGAAAGACTAACAAAAGGATCACATCGGAACCTTTTTGATATATTGAAATTGAAGGTGCAATGTTAATAAATTTAATCTTTAATAGTATAAAATAAAAAATTTAAATTTTTTATTTTACAAAGTAAAATTCGCCCGAAAAAATAACCAGTCTGCCTAATAGTGTCTCCAATCATGACTCAAATTTTTCCTCAAATTTAAATTAATATTTGTATAAAAAATTTGATTTGAAATAAAAGACTCCAATGGATAAATTCAAATTTAAAGAAGGAAAAACCCAAATTTAAATAAGGGCAAACTCAAATTTAAAAAGGAGGAAGGGTGACCATTGGATCTTTAAAAGATGGTGAACTCTCACCATTAAAGATTTAAGTCTCCTTTGATTTGAGTAAAAAAGTGAGTTTCTCTTGATTTGGTATAAGTTTGAGTCAAGGGTTGAAAATAGTTTTTTAGACTTTTTTACTCATTAAATTTGAGTCTAAATTTAAGTAAGGGTTGGAGATACCCTAAAAAAAGAGATTGTGGTATTATCACAACGCACTTCTCTTCCCACTGCCGAGAGAGGGAGAGGGAGAGGGAGAGCGAGAGATGGCAGCAACATCACCTTCGTCTTTATCACAGGCCTCCACTACTTTAGACTCTGGCCGGGATCTCATAAAGTAGGTTCCAACTCTCTCTCTCTCTCTGTGAATATTTTTATTAGATTATGCTGCTGATGAAATTGGAGTTGGGTTGTACTAACCCAGATAAGGAGCCACGAGGTTGCAATAGCAGAGCTCAATAATCTTCCTTCCTCTCGGCTGCGTAAATTAACTTCCAAAGCCCCTTTCTTTTCTAGTTATAATGTCAGTCAATGTTTGTGTGCCTAAATTTTACTTATGTAATCATGTAGTACACATACCCACATAGATATTACATCCTTATGCATGGATTTTTAGTTGATTTGCCAATTATGAATCTAACTTGTATCATTAGGGAATTTATTACTTCAAATTGTATTAATATTAGGTGAGATATTGAGGCTCTCTAGCCAATGTGTGCTGGTCAGGGCAGATATTCATTTTTTTTCCACTCTGTGATTTAGGGTAGAATGTGTAAATATGAATTGAATCAAGGATCAAAATATCGTTTAAAAGACCGAAACGTTTTTGTTTCTAAGGAGACTAAAACAAATCAGGGATTGATTCGAAATTTTAATTGTTCGAGTTGTTTTGAGGTATTTCGTATGATTCGAGTTGTTTCAAGATGTTTCAGTATGTTTTTACTACTGTTTTGAAATATTTCAAGGTGTTTCGAGATGTTTTGATATATTTAGACCAATGATTTGAAATATTTTGAAATTTTGAAATTTTTTATTCGTTTCCATTTTATTTTTGAAACGCAATGCGCCGAGACAATATTTTGATCCTTGAATTTAATTGATGCTAAAGGTCGAAATTGGAGTAAGATTACAAGTTCCTGATAAGATTAATGTTTGTTCACATTTCATGCAATAGAGAATTGATAAGTAAAGTAAATAAATAGCAGTGAACTAAAGGTCCTCTTGCAGCAAGATTATAATTTTCTGAGAAGACCAATGTTGTTCACATTTCACTAAGCATGGATTGATAAGTCAGGTTAGTGTAACTGGCAGTCTTTTGGTAGGTGTACCATAGAACCTGGGCTGAATTCCGCCCTCATCTGGGTCAGAGGGCTTTATGGTGTGGGAGGGAGATACCCCATTATGGAACTTATGTTCAGCCAATCATCCTCTTTCGCAACACACACACACACCCACAATGGAATGGATGTCATATGAGGAAATATTATTTATTTCTTTGTATAGATGCAATACATTGTAACTCAGGAGTGATATTTGAAACAATATACATCAGAATATCCTTGTCGAATGGCCTGTTTCATTTATATTATGATTGACTAGAATTGAAATAATCTCACTAAAAGGAAGATGGAATCAATGAAATCTTGCTCGGGAGCAGACATTGGGCATATTAACTCTTCCCATTGGGCAGGGAGAGGGGGTATCAATGATACTAGAATTCCAAAATTTATGTGTTGAGCATTGCCACCTTTCATCCTCATTTAATGATTAAAATTCACTTCCTTTGGACACATGCTTTTTTTTACCAACAATTGCAGTTAATATCTTCATTGAATGGGGAAAACTTTCCTAAATAAAAAGGAATATGGTTCTTGTCCATATATACATATGTTGTGGAAGGAGATTGACTATCATGACGTAGAGTGGGCGAGTATTCTGCCTTTGTAGGATTGACTATTTAGTTAATGAGTTTTTGAAGTCAGGTGGATGTTAGCTATATTTTCATGGCTTCTTAGTTTGTTGCAAACCTTCAGCTTGATTGTTCATGGTACGTGTCAATACGATAATGCCTTGTGGCAGTTTATGAACTATTTTGCATTTGAATGCTTCTCAATGCCAAGACAATTGAACTGTTGACTACTGTATGTCATACTATTTGGGGGTGGTGGTGTTGCATGCCATACTAGTTGGGGGTGGTGGTGTTGTATGCAAATTGAAGACCATATATATAAATATTACGAAGTTCCCTTTAATTTGCTTGGCAAGGAGAGAGAGAAGAAAAAGGCAGAGTGGAGAGACTGCGTTGTCAATTAGTCAGTCTTCTCTAATCTCTCTCTCACACACACACACGTGCGTGCGCACACAACCTTCAGTTTTACTAGGCTTTCTGATAAATTGGAAAGCTCTGGTTATTTGAGTAGGTGACATGTGGCACTCTCCTGCATGTGGGTATGCATGCATAGCACGATTGTTGGGAAGAAGCTGTGGAATTTAACGGTGCCATATGATTAATTAGTAGTGTTATTTATTTAAATATTGCTAATGTCATTTTAGATGTGAGCCTATAGCGAAAAGGATCACTTCCCCAAATCTACGGTTTTGTCCATTATATAGTAATTTTTGCTACAATTGATATGTAGAGTGTTTTAGTACTACAATATTGATGCAGTTGCTTTTGATTACAAAGAAATAATTTTGTTACTTGGCCACAGGCGGTCTATCAGATAAACGGGAATATATTTTTCTGTACAACTGTGCAGAAAGCAACAGCCTTTGAACAGAGTAAGAAGCCCCTTTAGCGTGTGCCTAAGTTTCCTCTTTCTTTTTCATGCTATTCACCCTAGTAATATATTTTTCTTCTCTTTTGTTCTTGGTGACTATTGGACAGGAAAAATCGATACTGCCAAAGCTAAGTTTCAAAAGTTGAATTCATCTTGATATACTAGGCCTACTTCATAGTTTGCCCATGGTATTTGGTGGTATCTAGTTATGGGGAACATGCGAAAGAGCCCTCTTACCTTTGATATGTGTTTGACGTTCAGTGTTGTACATATACTCCTTGAGGATTTCATTTGAATCAGCTTGTATGTGGATTAGGAGATTGTAAATTCTTGAGTAGATTTTTCGGTAATCTGGTTTATAATCACTTTTCATATGCAAACAGGTTAAAAAAAAACCCGAAGGCATCGTGTTTCACAAATATGCTTTTCGTAGTTCGTTTTCCACAAATAGGATCGGAGCTTCTAATGCCAGGCGAAAAATTCAGCAGGATACTGGCTTATACATAGGAATGCTCCATGATAGTTGACTTTGTGTTGCTTTTCTGTTATGCCTTTCTTGGTTCATGGTTCGATATTTTGGTGTCCTAGGCGTAAAGGACCCGCACCAATCCATCCCGAACTTGGTGGTTAAACTTTATTGTAGTGACGATACTATAGGGTAGGTTCTGCGGCAAAATAGCTCGATGCCAGGATGATAAGTAGCATTCACAATTAGAATCACTGGGAAGACATCTTCCCAGACACCCCTGGGCATGGTTTGCGTTCTTGTATTGTCAAAAAGAAATCCCAGTTATGAATTAGTGCTTTTAATGCAAAATCAGTTATGCGTTCGTTGTCTTCAACTGGCTAGTATGGATGAGTAGCGTTTGTCTTGGCTTTTGTTCATTATCTGGTACAGGTCAATATATTTTTCTTTCATGTTATCTGGTTTTAAGTGTTCACACAAACCATGTAAGGTTGGGAGCAGTCCATGATTTACAACATAATATTCACAGCACCTTCTCCGTTTTCGTATGATTCTACATGTTTGACTTTACAGTTATAGTGTTTGAGATGTCTGGTTTTGAGGCTGCCCAACTTGTATTTTTAGACAGGTAGAGATATCCTCTAAGAAAATGTCCAAATACACTGCCAATGAATTGCACAGCTTTTGTAGATGGTTTTTTTTATTCACCCATTTGCAGCAGTTAGTCTGTATGGCGATTATCATAGCCAACAGCCTAATGAGCCAACGATTCAATAGGCCTCCCCACATTGCCCGGATAGAGAAGGGTCTTACGTTATATAGATACACACTCATTTTAGACTGTTGACTCCGTCAATAAGAGCTTCTGGGAGTTATCAGCCTGTTATGCCGGCATATCTTTGATCCGTTGAGCGAGGGGTCTCCCAATCATGCAGACATATACTGTTAAGTTGACTTGTTTTAAGACCATGGTAGATAATACCATCTGTGTAAATGGAATGAACTTGGACAAAACCCATACATGTGGCATCACTGAATTTAATTTTTCATTAGCATATGAACTCTGTTCCGGAAATTTAGGAGCTGTGCGTGTAAAATTGGCTGCAACGGAGTTAATATGATGTACAGACTGACGAGTGAAGAACCCAAACTGGTCGGGTTGAAAACACAGCCGCAATAAAGATCCAAAAAGGGCACCATTAGTTTCAGAAAATGCTGTCAAACTTTTTTTTTGGAGGGAGAGCACTAGCGAAGGCGTGGTTCACCCTCTAAGAGAGAGTAGATGCGAAGGTTCAGATCAAATTTTTTTTCTAGATGGCTCATGAATCTCGAGACTGGAGTGTTGGACTTGAAGACCCTATCACATTCTGGCCCCGAATTCTCACGTTGACTTACCGCCAACAATATTTGCCATCTCGTGCTTATGTTCTTAGTTTTTTAGTTAAAATCTAATCAGTTTCATTTAATCTCATACACCCATTCAAAATAGTTACTTGACAAGGTTGATCTTTTGCTGATAAAGAAATTGAAATGCTCACTTGTTGTAGTACTTCAGCCCGAGTTTGGTCTTTTCACAGATAGCAAGTGTTTTTTTATCAAAGATCCGGAAAAGTACTTCTTTACCCAATACTTAGATACAAAAAAGTCTTGAGCTCATTTTGAAAACTGACAATCCTTTGTCACACTATCCACCACAAAGACAGTTAAGAAAAATCTCAATCAACATGTGAAAGCAGCTTTCAAGCTATTTCTTTCTGTGACTGCAACCCCCTGAAAGAAAATTTCAGGTATAGACAATCAAACACGAATGGCATACATAACGACTTTACATAGAATTTTATCTCCTTATTACAATCGAAGTTTATGTCTTTCCTGATGTCTGAGGCGAATAGCTGGTCCACATGTTCGAGTTGCTAGCAGGCAATATGTCATACAGCTATTTTATTATGTACACTGGAGCCGAAGGGAACAAAGCTTCTACTCAACACCCTGGCCTGATTGCTGGAACAGCACAATTGCAAGGGTCACAAGGGATGCATAAACTGAATTGGGTAACTTCTGCACCACCTTCCCGACGACTGGAATACCCTCTGTTGACCTCTTTGTCAGTAGAGCAACTGTCGGTGCTACAGCCAAAGTGATGATTAGTCCCTGGCTAACAATGACGAATGTATCTGCTGTTAACTGGTGGATAAACCGCACAAATTCTTCACAATCCAGTTCTCCATCAAGGTTTAAATCACAATCCTACATAAAAAATGACCATCATATCAATCACTAGTCTGAATTTCTAAACCCTTAAGGACAAAGGTAGCAATAGTCTGCTGCAATCATGACGGTGAATTATGTAGAAATGTAAGCTGCAATGATACTCAAACTATTAGAGAAGGATGTCTTCCCTAGTCATAGGAGCTATCAGCAGCGGCAAGCTCAGTATGCACCTCAATGAGAGGGGGGGGGGGGTAAAACTCTTCACACGGACCATGGTTGCTTCCATTTTAAACATTTAGACAGCTTGAGTGTATCTTCAGCAGATGTATAAGCATCCACATTGAATCTAAGACAGTCTGCATCTCAATGAACAAGACTCAAACACAAGGTATGGTGGCTTCCATTGCAGACATTTAGAGCAATAGGATGTGTTCAGAAATTATGGAATGGCATATAATGATCCCACAGGACCTCAGAGTCACGAACTAAAAACCTCCGAAGCATTGTGTTCATTCAAAATTATAAATCACTCTGCTTGTGTCACGCAAGGAGAGATGTGGGCCGAGCAAAACTATCTGAAAAACACTAGAAATGAGGTTAACTGAAATGGTGAGACGAAGGATTTGGGTGTTCAGTTTGGTATAGTGAAGTTCCTATCTATAACACTGCCAAGATAATACACATGTGCAAGAACAATGTCTATATTGTGGCAACAGATTGATATCAGGACATATCATGGGCTTAGAATCAGCCTATTGTGTTGTACATTAGATATAATTTGTCTATTCTCTTATTAACAGCACATAAGGAACACCACTTGTCTTATTGAACATCAATTGGACACAACAGCATCTTGCACTTTATAAACTGTCAGTTTCCTTCAATATTCATGGTGATATCTCTCCATCTGTTTGAAATTTCATTTTATACTCAAATACCCTGAAAAGGACTCATTGCGTTTCCTGAGGCTGATTCCATGTCCACTCCAACTTTTGAAATTAGGCAACATGAATCTAGCGATGCCATTCAAGGTTGTCAACAAAAATGTCTATAAGCAGGAAATGTGCTCCAAAAACTATTCTTTCTATAATCCTTTTATATTATTTTCCTTTCTTTTGGTCCTTTTTTAGTGGAAGCACCAACACCAGTTTGACAATTCCAGAACCAGAGTAGATCACAACATGCCCATTATTTCTTAAATCATTGTACTATCACCCCTGGAACTGGAACTATTACAGGCAAGCAATAAATTAGATAATCAGAAATACCAGCATCATAGTTTTGACTTGCTCCTTCGAGGGTGGATCAAAATGAGGTCCGGGCAATCGCTTGTTGATATCACTACATCAAGAACATAAGTAGACTTCTCAAGAATATTAAGTCGACAGAAACAATAAAAAATCATTGATTAACGAGTTTTCAGCATTTAAACAAACCTAGTCATAAAATGGGTAAAAGTTCTTACTTGTACACAAGTAGCACAGCAATATATAGATCTTCAAATGTCAAATTAGCCCTTCCTGTTTCGTTTTTGAAATGATCAAAAACCTTGTCAGTTATCTTTCGAATTTGTTTTTGTCTCCACTGCTTTCCTGTACAAGGAGAAAGATTATCAAAGATGTATGACAGCAGCCTGTCACAAAAACAATATTAATCAATTAAGTTGGTGGCATTAAAGAATAAGCCAATGACCCAAAAAACCCTAGATTCATGATGTAGTGAACTAACTACAGGTTGCAGCAGCATGCACAAAACTTTTTAAGTTCAGGATGCAAGCAAAGAAGCCCAATAATAGTAAAGGAATTATCCAATGGTTAGGTTCATTGGTCTGAATTAACCTTGAAGGGAATTTGGTCCATTTGTCCGCCCGTAATTCGAAGAACACAAACCAGCCAAAATAAATCACTCATAAACAACACCAGAAACCAGACACGGTTACAATGTCCCACAAACAAAAGGAATTACTAAGTCCAATTATACTTGCATATCATCAATCAACAGAATAAAATTAGTGGCAGAATCGTAAACAAACTGCTCCTCCAATTATTCCCAAAACTGCTGATTACATGAGCATACTGCTTCAATGGTTCCACAATTTGAAGCTAAGAGTTTTTTTTTGTTTTTGGGGGGTCAAGCACTATTACAGAGGAGGGGGGCGATGAGGTTCAAACCCCCGACATTACAGACTCCCTCTAATTTTAAAAAAAATTGTATTTTTAGTCCTATTTTTATTCAAATTTTGTTTAGGCTAAATAAAAACTAGTTTGGTTGTTTCATATGTTAATTTAGTATTGAATTTTCATAAGTTTTTTCATGTTGAAACTTACAAATTTTCTTTGTATTAGCTTGTGAATTTTTTCTAGTCACATTTTGCATCCCCTTGGGCAAATTCCTGGCTCCACCTCTGTTATGGTCCAACTGCAACAGCGGTGATCATTAAACTAACCACTAACCTTTGCTACAAGAGTTCCACAATTCAAAAAGAGAGATTTTTACCGTATCTATCTATATATATAAAACAAACATTTTTTGGATGAGAGGGCTTAAGAAATCTTCCCAACCCCAAATACTTTTTTTCTAGATTTTTTAAATATTTAATTATCTCATTCCATGCATCGCACGAGGTGTCCCCTAGTATATTCATATGGCAGAAAATTGAAATTGAAACTGAAACGAACAATTAAACATATATTTGACTTACATATAATGATTGATTATGTCCCAAATACGAACAACAAAGAAAACTAAAAACGAACCCAATTTCACAACAGTAAAATTCATATCACCCAGAATTTGAAAACCCAACAAATGCATGCCAAAAGACTTTAATGCAGATTGTAGAACCACCATTCTGTGCCTTTAAATTCGAAAAAAAATTGAGATACACCAAAAAAAGAGAGCAAGAGAGAGAGATTGAGTTGAAGTGAAGCTTAGAGTACCTTGGAATTGTCCTATAACTTGTCCCATGGCGTTGGAATTGGTGATGCTGCTATGATCTGGAAGCTCTACGATAGAGATCACAGAGAAGGACTGTAAGCTTCGAAGTTTGGTTGATTTGAGTGAGGAAACGATTGTTTAGGATCTACTTCACCTGAGATTTTTGGTACTCTTTTGGGTCAAAGAGGAAGAAATTGCTCTCTACGTTCGTGTGTTGCTAGGATGATGTGATTGATACAGTCCAGTTATCTTATAACTAGCAGTATCCTAAAAATTTGAGTTTAATTCTATTTAATCATAAATTAAAAATTAAAATAAATAAGGAGAAAAATAAAAAAAACCTGACATTAGAAATTGTGGTGGTTGAGTTAATATTTGAGTAAAAAGAAATTGAATTTTTTTTTTGTATAATTTGATCAAATTAAATAAAAATTAAATCAATCTGGACCGTTATTATATTTTTTTTATCAATCAGACAAGATATAAGGATTTGATAAGTTCACGTAATATGAATCCGATATCGAACTAAATCTAATAAAAAAATTAGTGAATTGAAATTAATTAATTTGTTATATAAATTTAAAAATGACATAATTTGACAATAAATAATTCAGATTAATATTAAAAACAAATAATTCAATTTTTTAAACTTTATTTTTAATTTTTTACCTTTTCTTTATTTGGACTTGTTCCTTTCTAAATTTTTTATTTTGTTGATATTAACAAACACTAGAGAAATCTTACATTCGGGTTGCATGTCTCAACGCAACATAATCTTGGGTTGTGCTTCTGATCCGGTGTTGAAAACCCGATCCATCTCTGAATTCTCTTAACCCCTAAGCTTTCGTCACAGGTTGGGGTGACAACAATTCTTACCCACAACCCACTAACCCATTTAATTCGTCCGTTGGATACCTGTTTTTATTAATTTAGGTTAAAAATGAATTAGATATTATTTTTTAATTTAAATTTATGAATTAAATCGGATTTAGAGTAGGACCCGTTAGGTTTTTTCTTAAAAACTAATGAATCATAAATACACTCACCACCCCCACCTCTCCAGCTCCAGCCGTTAGACTCCCATGGAGTCTCTTGACGCCAAATTCTACACTACTGACTACACACTGCTTGTCTAACCACTGCTGCTCTCCGACTGGAATTCGACTACTCCGAACTGGAATTCGGCTATTGAATCTTACATCTCCCCATCATTCAAGCTTGCAAAGTGAGTCCCCTCCAATTTTATTTATTGAAATTTCCCAAAAACATTGTCTCGTTACATCAAATGCCCTACTTTCTTGTTTTTTTTCCTTTTCTTCCTCTCTGTTAGCATTAGCTTTGTTTTTCTTGGATTGGATATTGAATTACTTGAGTTATATTTTTTGACCAGTTGTGACATGCCTACAACGTGTTTAATGAAATGCCCAAAAACTATTTAGGCATCACAAAATGAGCGTTAGCAATGATATTGGTTATTAGGATTGAATCTGTAGATAAAGCGGAGTGCAGAAGGGTGGGGGCTGGACTATGATAATGTCCATTTGCAGAGTAGCCTTAACATCGATCGTGTCATCCTACCCAGTATTGGATTCGGATCACTCATCAGTCATTAGCGTCCAACTGTGTGTATGCATGGTGAATCAAAAAAAAACTGAGCTAATCTAGTAAAGGCTTCAATGATAGAATTTGTCCAAAAAAGGTCTACCATGGGTAAAGATAAATTATAATACTTGAATGACTTTTGTTTAAAACAGGGATACTATCCTAGAAAAATGCAGAATGACGTTTCTGAACCTCAGGAATTTTCATATCTTTGTACTGTGAAGGTGAGCATTAACTCTTATATATCTGAATTTTGTTATTCAGACCCACAAAGTTCAATTAACCTTAAAAACTGAGCTTTGTGATTCTAGCAACTCTGATATTGCTTCAGCATGAAGTATAAATATAACATTCGATTACAAGTTTTGTCACAAGTTAGCCACTTGTTGTGATCTTCAATCTTATATATCCTCAGCGTAGTCTTGGAATTAAGAAAAGTCTAATGGTGATGCAAGAAATTTGCATCAGATAAATGCATCCTCTTGGGAAAATCAATTGGAGCATACATCAGATACTCCTGCGTAACAGAAAGAGGGTTTTGAAGTACTTTATAACATCATTTCAGCTTTCTCATAGTCAGCTTGATAAATACTTTATCTGTCTTGCATAATACACAGTTTGCTTAGATATTTCAGGCTTATTTTCTGTGTCTGTGCTTCACAAAGCTCCTTTTAGTTTAGGAGCTTTTGTGGGTTCTTAGATTGTTTGGGATGGTGTGGGTGCGGACTCGGATAAGACATGACACTGACACGTTGGGGACACGTTACAAATATGATGTTTAATGTAGAAGGTAATGTAATTTATAAAAAATATAGAAATGGTAATAGTGCTATTCTTAAGAAATTAAAAATAACGTGTTATTTGTGGTCACTATATAGTGCTCACCTTTTCGATTAAAGATTCTTCTAAGTAAATCCGAACTTCTTCATTTCCTAAATTTTTGATATTTTGTGTGTATTTTGGTGTAATATTTTGTGTGTGTGTGTAGTTTGTGGTGTAAGTATGTGTATTTTGGTGTAGTAGTGTGTGTATTTTGGTATACTATTTTGTGTGTGTATTTTGGTGTAATATTGTGTGTGTGTATTTTGGAGTAACAGTGTGTGTATTTTGGTTTAATATTTTGTGTATGTTTATTTTGGTGTAGTAATGTGTGTATATTGGTGTAAGTGTGTGTGTATTTTGGTGTAATATTGTGTGTGTGTTTTGGTGTAGTAGTGTGTGTATTTTGGTGTAATATTTTGTGTGTGTGTATTTGGGTGTAGTAGTGTGTATGTATTTTGGTGTAATAGTTCATGTGTGTGTGTATTTTGATGTAGTAGTGTGTGTGTGATTTATGGGTTAATAGGTTTAATCCAACCCGTGATAAATTCAACCGGTTATAAATGGATTGAATTTATTTTAGCCCAACCCAATCCACCTATTTGCCACCTCTAGTCACAGGTGATCTCTCTCTCTCTCTCTCTCAACAATATATCTTCTAAGAAGTTTGATGTCTACGAACAATTACAATCGACATTACTGGAGAATCCTGATTCATTGATTTTGCTTTAGAAATTTTGTGTGATCTTTTTTTCCTTTTCTTCGTGTTTCTTTGTTACCCCGAGATCGGTGTTTCAAGCATCAAATCAAAGCTAAATTCTTGTTAAAATGATGGTTCGACATGAAAGGCAAAAATGATAATATTTGTTAAAGGGGTTGTTTTTTGTGCCAACGTGTTCAGAGTTATATCTTCTGCAGAATCTTTGAGGATATGCAGTTATATCCCCTGAAGCTAAAAGAGATTTGTGTTAGCTCATTGTTTTTTTGTCTTTTTATTTCTTTTGTAATTCATTTTTTTTGCATTTAAATTATACATGCCACTGAATATCCTGATTGCTGCCATTATCTAACTTGTCCTTCCCTTTTCATTTTTACTGTCTTAGGGTCATTTGCTTTTTAGAGATAAAATAGGGGTGAGGATGGTTGAACTTCACCTTGATGATATTGTTAAGGTTGATCGAGTGGACGCAGATGGCAAAAAATATGATAAAGGTACACATGTGGTTATAATGCTTTTAGCCTCTGGGGGAACAATGATACAGCGCTTGCTTTGTTATTATTTTTTTACTAGAAATTGCTTTTACTTTAATTAGATTCTCCTTGGAGGATGGAGTTTTATTAATTTCCATTCGAGTAATAGGATCTAATAATTGGATCTGATCCACTGTCCTAATCATGAGTCAGTTGATATAGACTTAATTTTTGATAGGAAGCTGACATAGACCCAATACGAATGTACAACATTCATAGTGACAATAATGTTCTTGGACCATGCCATCAGACACATCATTAGGTTATAGGTTTGGGTATTTAGTCAATTTTTAGGTCTCACTAGCTCTACTCTTTTATTTCAAAACATGAGCACTATTTAGTTGTGTCTAGACAACATGAGAAAGTTGTTTTCCCTATGTGTATACTTAGATATATAATGATCAAAACACAGGGCAGCATCTAGTAATGGTGTGGGAAATATGTTGACTTGCTTGTTTAATTTTGGTTGGATGCTATAGTGATGCCTTTTTAAGGTAGTCAACCACAGTATGAGATCAATTCCTCTTCCGCCTTGCTATTTTGTGCTTAATTTTGATGCTATATGGGTGTGCCTTTGTTATTTTTGTCCTACTCAACTATCTTAATATTTAAGCTAACAATTTCCCAAGTGTGGTTCTTGGTTCTCCAGTTTCTCGCATTGAAGCACAGAGTGAGGAGGATGACATGTACATGCAGCTAGATGTGAACTCGGATTTATATCCTATGCATATAGGGGAGAAATATAGAATGGTTTTAGCTCAAACTCTGAATTTGGATGGATCAGCTGTTACTAGCTATTTCCCTGAGGTAATCTAATTCCAGTTGCTTTTGTTGGTTTATTTATTCTAATCCCATCCCCCCCGCGTGCCCGTGCGCATATGGGGTAGGGATGGAAAGGGAAAAGGGGAACTGGGTGATAAAATTATTTATTTGTCTGGTTTTTGGGGAACTCTCCTTCTCCTTCTGAGATGGGAGTAGGGAGGCTACATTTAATTCAAAATAACTTGGACCTATTTCTTATAGTAGAAGTATTAGTTATCTACACTTCATTTTCTAGTCTAGGCACTGGATTCTACAGAGTTATCAACTTCTAACAGTAGAATGTCTAAGCCTTATTGATTCTTGTAGTGATGTGGTGATAATGTATTATTTTTTCAATCTTTTTTTCATTTTTTTTCGCTTCTTATTTTTCATAACACTAGCAAACATATTATCTCTTGTTGCCCTTAGTACATAGGAGTCAGGATTATCTTTCCCAAGAAGCAAGGTATTCACGAAATGTCTTGTAGAGTAAGCGAGGTCTTTGCAACATAATAATCTTTTTCTAGTTTGTTTTGTACCAGAATGAAATTTAAAAATTAGCTTGTTGCATTAATGAGGTGCTAGATATTGTGAATTGAATTTGGAACGTTTCATTACTCTATGTTTGCCATAAATCAAAAGTATTCCTAGTTAGGAAGCATGGATATGGATATGCAATAGGGGTGTGATACGACGTGGACTCGGTGATACGACAAACCCTAAAAAAATAGTATATGAATATGGTCATTATACGCCTACAATAATTTTTTTTTTTATATTTATACTATGATGTAAGTATTTTTAATTTTTAGTAACTTTGTTAATTGCAATTCAAAAATAAGAAATTTTTACTTTCAAGTAAGCATAGATCATCTCATCATAGTAGATTTACAAAGTGAACATGTCTAATTTATGAAACCAAAACCAACTTTCAGTAACTAATTTACTTAGAAGTACTTCTTGCCCAGAAATATGATGTAATTAACCTATTTTATGTCCTTTCATGTGTGATAGTGGATAATACCTAAAAAAAACACCAAACTTCAAAGCCATTTGGTTTTTTTTCTTTTTTGCATCATTGTATTTGAAGTTGAGAGGAAACGGTAAAAGTTAAAAATTTAAATTTACACATATTGCTATGTGTATCCACTTCTATATTTGAAGTATATTTATCTTAGATACCCATATCCAAGCATCGGATACGTGTAATAAGTATCTGATATCTATCCAAAAATAAAGAAATATTTTATTATTTTTTGGATATGTCTAGTGTGTATCCAAAATGTATGCTCAAGTATCTGATGAGTATCATATCCGGTATTCGACACCAATACATCAACTCACACAGAGTATGCGTTTCATAGATTCTTGGTGAAATTCATCTGGAAATTCCAGTCATGCCCATGTTTTTTCCATTGCATTTATAAAGTGTTAAGTTTTAAGATTTGTTAGTAGAGAAGGGATTGAAAGAGGGAGAAAAGCAATTGTTATCCTACCTCTGGCTACCCAATTATATTATAGTTATACAATGAAACATAAAAGACGAGTACCCATACATGAGTGTACTAATTACAACCTATACTATGAACACTAATACGAATATTCTTAACAATAAGAAAACATCACTCACAGAACATTGAATTATGAAATTGGGAATTCCTCAATTGTATTGTGCTTTGTTTGGAATTACATCAATTATTTAAGTTTCCTTTTTGTTCTTTATCTCATTTTTAGTGTTGTTTGGAGCTAGGTTTTTTTTGGTAGGTTTTGCTCCTTTTGTTGACTATCCTCTTCTCCTGGATGATATTGTTCTTTTTGAATTTTGAAATCATGGGGAATTCCTCAAATGTGTTGTGCTTTGTTAGGCAGATTCTAGGCCAGACAATTATTTAGTGTTGCTTGGAGCTATAGACTCTTTTGTAGGTTTTGGTCCTTTTTGTTGACGCATTTTCCTCATTTAGTCCAGGGTATTGTTCTTTTTTTGAGTTGTGGGAACTAAGAGGTTGGCTTGGTAGTTGGGGGGACCGTATAAAAATTTATTTATTGTGGCCTTGTGAATATTAAATCTTTTGTCCACGAGTTCAAATTTGACATTACAATTTACTAAGAAATATGAACTCTTGGATTTGCTTGTAATTTTCCTTGTGGTGGCCCTGTAAGTGAATGTTTTATGTTTAGCTATCTTGCTTCTCCCAGTGTGATTGTACATAGTTAGTTATATGGAAAAATAAAACACTAATAGGTGACAAAAAGATGATATGGCTAAGATGGCTGGTTATGGACCAATGGCAAGAATGAGAGATATGGGTCTAGTTGAATGTGAGTTGGATATTAGTCCATGCAGGTTAGGGGCAGTGGTAGCAAGAAATGAGCTGAACAAGATGGTCTAAGAAGTTTCTTTTCCCCTTATCTACAAATAGCTACCTGATTGGCAATTTGTTGAAAAATTAATGCACCAAACTCCATGGGTAAAGCACATGTAATGGGAAGGTTAAAGGGACTTAACGGAAGAAAATTTGGTTGTCTTGTAACATATCTTGCTAACACTACCTACCTTAGGAGCAATTGTATCAATATCAACAATAATGCACCTGATTCTATTAGTGAGTTGTGCTTAGTTATGTCAATGTGAAGGAAAGGTTGGTTAGATAGAATTTTACTGAGGTGGCCAACTGGCAAGGACTTGATCACTTGTGACATAATCAGGAATACACTCTGAGTAACCCTTGTTTCTTTTCTTTTGGCCTTTTTGTTTAAGATTCGTATATTCAATATTGATGTGAGCCATCACCATAGCACCTTACACCTCGGCGTCACACTGTTTTCTGGTTTTGTTACTCTGAATATTCTCGTTATGTGCTTTTCTGCATTGCTAGCTTTACTCTTTCATTTTAGTAACCTGGAAGATTGCTGATCCAGTCCAACCAGTGCACAGCAATTCTCAATGTCCAAATGTGTCTAGTTGACTTATGAATTAGTTTCAGTTCTGGAGCTTTTTGGAGCCATGAAAATCTGCTTATATTGTGAGCAATGCTGATCAAACATGCGGTAGCCTTAATTGCAGATACATAAGCCTCATTGGTCATGATCCTTTAGCTGTTTTGTCACATGTCCTAAATTTAGAATAAATTCATAGTAGAGAAAAAATTCATTTGATTACATGAGTCTCAATGGTGGTCACTGTCCAAGTTACCATGGCACAGACTCTTCCTGCTATGTCCATTGCTTTAGATTGGGTGTTTACTTTTTCTGTTGAGTTTCTTTGTGTTCAAATCTACTGGTGAGATCAGTTAAGATGGCTCATTCATAGTCCACATAAATGTTTAAACAATCTCTTTTGAACTTGGTAGTATGTACTTGATACAGAATTCTGGCTTCAATTTTTCGAGGCATAATATCACTTATAAAATGATATTTCTCTGATTTCAGGGCAAGCAGAAATCACTTGCAGACAAATTCGAGTATGTCATGCATGGGCTATTATATAAGATCTCAGAAAACACCGAAGGACCTGATGTTAAAGTGTATGTATGCTTTCTAGACACACGTCTTCCATTTTTTTTGCATGTCTGGGCACAAAAGTGTAGAATTGTGAGGGCTACTTTGTATCTGCTGCAATTGGCTTGAAAGCATGGACTCTGATTTTGTTGGTGGAAAGTTATGACGAGTATCTTGCTTATGTTTTAGCCTCATCATAGATAAAAGCTGATTTTAAAAGTGTGTTATTCTGGAGGAAAAAAATTTCTCTGAACCTAATCGCTTTATGGATTTTGCCAAACCTCATCTTAATTGTAATGGTCTGTTTGTTGGATTTTCTTTTTGGCTTCAGGGTGGTGTATATTTCTTTTGGAGGACTTCAACTGATGCTGAAGGGCAACCCTGCCAAGATGGGTAAATTTAAGGTTGACGAAAGGTTGTTTCTTCTTTTGAGGAAGATGTGAAGCCCGGTTATAGTTCCTGAGTTGCATCTTTACTGCTGCCAAGAATCATACTGCAAAATGTTTGCCTTCAATTTACTTTTAGTTTGATGTGTTGTTGTGATCCCCATGTTTTCAGTTTGATGTGTTGTTACATTTGTGTTGTGACATTATCGTAGTAAATCATAGTCAGAACCGTTTATGTTTCTGGATAGGTTCTTGGAGACAAACTTTGGCTCAGGTTATAAAATACTTTACTTTTGACCGAAGATTTCTGTCTTCTTTTTTCTCCATCTTGGAAACTTACTTACAATACAATTTTATGTTTTGAGTAATGGTAAAAGGAATCGGGTTTCATTGGTGATGATAGACCTGGCATTCTTTCAATATACTTATCAGACATCAAGCTGGGTAATTCATAAGGTGAAGGCTGCTTTTTTATGACAAGCACAGTAAATATTTGGGCCTAAAGTTGTGTTTTCTGTTTAAAATTTTGGGCAAGTGTAACAGGAACATCGTCCACTCCCTCAAACTGGTTGAGTCGCAACTTGATCCCCATCTCAGCCAATCGGCGGCTGTTCCAGTGTAGAAGTTGGAACATAATGAAGTATCGTTATACGTTTATCTCCATGATTTCAACTCGTGACTCACGTGGTCTTGGGGGATTTTCATCTCCAATGCTTTCGTCACCAGACCACAATCCTGGTAGAGAATTAGGCCAAATCTACGCACAGTTTTTGATGAGGAGAAAAGAAAACCCTGACCATGTGTTGAAACAAGCATTAGACAAAATGCTTTAAAATAATTTGGTGGCTCCATTGTGCAAAATGAATACTGCATTTCCCTTGGTTGACACCCAAAAAGGAGCATTGGGCACTGTCTTGACTGTGACTTGAAGCCTTGAAACATCAATACATACAATGCACTTGATTTTAACGAGAATGTCTATTTCTCATAGGAGACCATTGGGGATCTTTTACGTGGATTGCTCTTGATAGAGCACAATAAAGAAATAGGATTCACGTAGTCAACATCAAATAGCTGGGGAAGAAACTTTATTGTGTTGAGTTTTATCGATTCCTGATAGAGAGGAGACTTTTCTTCCCCTTCCTAACTGCCTAAAAGCCTGCTATTACAAGGAAACTTTATCACAAGCAACGGGGCTACTTTTCAACATGACACAAACTACAGTTTCAATGTCAACATTGTGCTTTGTGATTGAATGGAAGGAGATGCTTTGTGAACTGGTTAATAAACCATAACAGATTGAAGACACTGAAATTTTAATGTATAGCAGCAGGAAAAGATGCATTAAAATGGACTGAAAATACCACCAGGCTGGTGGTCCAGTAACTTGCAGTGCCCCACCTCGTTTATGATCCTCCCCAACTCCCAAGAGGTTAGCAAGCAAGGTTCAATTCACGAGGACTCCCGCTGCCCCTACTGGCAGCTCTGTAGTGTGGGGGTTAAACTATGACTCAAGTGTTGGCCTTTGATAGCTTGAAGGAAAAACACTAATTCCCAATTGTAAAACCACATCACAGGAAATTCCTAGACTAAGTGCCTGTGTGTTGCAGCTGTGTAGTATTTCCATGTTTGGTAGGAGGTGCCTCTGTTTGGAGAACATAACTCACCAAATTTTGATGACCTCATTAAGAAGCAAGCATGTTGAGTGTATCTTCTCAATTATGAATAAAGGGTGTGCGGCTTTCCAATATTTCTTATGAGTGAAAAAAAACAATTTTGGCCATCATATTGGACAATTTTTTCAACATCTTAGCGCATCAATAAGTTTACTCCATTGTGATCTGGGTGTCGAGAGCTTGAGTCGCAGAAATAGTCACTCCACATGTGGATACTCTCTCTAGACCAGCGCCGGGGTGGGGGGGGGGGATCCTCGTGCCATAGGCTGCCTTTTTATGTCTGAAAATTTTTACTCTCATATGGCAATCCTGGATTTTGATAAAGCCCATGGCACAAAATCCTGGCAGAAAGTCAAAGCCATTACTAACTTCAAAGAAAGAAAAATGGTGTGGAGAAACTTCAGAAATTTGTCTGAAGCAGTCTCAGCTGCATAGAAACTATCAGAGATTTGTGGCAAGCCTGTTACTGACAAGAAAACATATACACCTATGGCTGTAAAAAGGCGTACCCATGCACCAGGATATTGTCATTGCAGGGTCTGGGGAGGGTTATCTTTGCAACCATGACTTGAACCCATGATCTCCAGGTCACAATGGAGCAACCTTACAGTTGCGCCAAGGCCTGCTCTCTATAGCTGTCATTTCTGATTATCAATTCTCACTGGAAGGCCATCAATTCACACACATGCTAATTCTGTTAGCTGATGATCTGAGTAGCATCCAGGAGGATTATTAATTAAGGTAGTTTGAGGTCAATGATTAAAACAACAATGCAAGTTCAAAAAAAAAAAAAGAAAAAAGTGAGAGATTTAACTACAGTGTAAATAATATGAGGAGAGAGAAAGTTAACATTGAAACTCTCTATCTTGGGTGCACCTTTTTCTTCTTCACATGGCAGTTACAGTCATGCATGCTACTAATGCACCCAAACTTCCTCTTCATTTCTTTCCACATGCTAATTTTCTCCCTTTTCACTCCACTGCCGGAACCACCCTGAATTTCTTCCCTCATGATGCAGCATTCTCTTTCTAACTCCAACACCTTGCTGCCCATTTTCTCCATCTCTGTCATCACTTCTTTACTACTGCTGTTTCTTGCTGCTTCTCCTCCTTCTTCTTCATCCCCCAACTGTTTTAACCTGTCATCATAACCTACCTCCTTCGTAATTGTGTCTCTAAGCTTCAACTGTCCCACAAACAATACCTGCACCACCAATCTCAATGGCAACCGTTCATTCTGTGCAGCATGCTCACAAGCATCCGGGGACATCTTGTTGCAATCCAACAACCGACACACCTCCTCTCTCTCTGATTCTGTCAGATATCGATGCCTGTCCAAATAGATATCGATGGCCCTGTATATACCATCAGAGCTTCGTTGTGTTCCCTCCGATGCTGCAATTGACATCTCAGCAAGTGATGTGAATGTGCTTGTCTTTAAGTCAATGTCACTCGCGACCTCTGCCAATAAATCTTCTACAAGTTCTGCCACTGCAATTAGTCCAGAAGCATCTGGACCAGTGTAATTGCAGTAAAAACTTTTCAAAATCCTTCTCACACATTCTGTATCATACTGCTCTTCTTTAGCATACCCTTGGGAAGGTATTAAGAGGTCGCTGACTGTGACCTCATCTAGTTGCTTTCCAATTCTGACCTCAAACCGATTTCTGCATTCAGGGTTTGCTTCCAATTCTATTGCTGATCGGAGCATTTGAAACAGCAATGTGCATGGAAGGAGTCCTTTCTCATCAGGCAAAAGTCCCTCCACTGCTTCAATGATTTCTCTTTGAGAATTCCTCTTGTAAATTGAAATTTCATTCTCTCCTGTGCCACTGGAAAAGACCCATTTCTTTGCATACTCACACAGAGATGAAGCCACATACTCAGGCGGGACTTGGCGTTGAATCATTGCCCGGATGACTGGTTCATAGAGCCGGATATGCAGTGTTGTCAAATCTTCAGATTGCCAATCAAGAACAAAGAGCTTCCTCCTTGCATTTACCCTATATCCATGCTCATTTTCCTCACTATCACCTTCAGATGTCAAATTTTTCATCGATTCACCCAAGAGGCGAGGATTAGCCAATGCCTTCGATATAATGGACTCCACACAGATATCAACCAAGCCCAGATGCAATGCTTGTTGAAAGTTATTTCCTATGATCTTGAGGGCTTTGACAGATTTGTTCCAGCTAGGAATGACTTGCTGTTCTAAGAAGGTTAGAGCCTTTTTTAGTAAATTATTGGTGCTGTGATTTTCAGTCATTCCAAGGTAGTAAGCTAGGCAACAGATAGGAATAACATTCTCAGTCGTCATGTTTGGTTCAAAACCATGGCAGAATCTTGCTACAAGCTCAAAAGTTTCCGGGTCAGCAGGGATGTCTCTGAGTAAATGTGAGACATCTTCATTTGGATTCTCTTTCAGCAAAACAGCTAATTTGGCTGATTTTGCAGCCAGAAGCTCCTACAAATTTAATAGCCATCAACAAAGGCAAATCAAACAATGCAGGAGAAGAAAAAAACCAGAAAATTTACCAAAAAAAAAAAAAAAAAACAGAACGCTAATTATATACATTTTCACCCTCCCCAGATCCCAGAGCCCTGCACTGGATTGTCTTTTTTTTTTTAAATGCTAACTATATGCTTTTCTTTCTTTTTTTGATTCGACGATGAAGGGTTCGGGCTAGTTTACTCACATCTCGACTAATTTTCTCCCTAGTTCACGGACAAAAGGAGACCATCTATGCCGGACAAAAGGAGACCATCTATGCCAGAACTAGGATATTCATAAGGGATAAATCCCTCGTGGCTTAGTCCCAAGAAATTACTAAGATTTAAACTCAGATTGTCTGAGTTTATTGCTCGATCCTTTTATTACTTGAGCTACCCACACGGGTTATATTTTCTTTCAAAACGGCCCAAGCAACCAAATTTAAAATAAATGCAGCCACGGGAGCCATTTTAAAAAGGGAAAAATTAGCACTACTTGATGAAATAGGTTCTTTTAGAATCAATTTCAAATAGAGGTTATAACAATCCAAACTATCGCACTACATCATCTCCCTTTTGATGTTGCACAAAAGCCATTATTTTATGTTCAGGTAGCACTAAAAATGCTACAGAAAAGAAAATAAACCGAGGGAGAGAGACTGGGGGTTGTGCTTATTACCCTATCCAGAGTAAAGGGTACTCCACATACACTGAGGTGAACATCTGATGAAGATGCAAACTTTGAGATCCTGAAACATGGAAAAAGGGTCAGAAAATTCTGTACATGGAAGAGTCATCAAAAACAGAGAGAGGGGAGGTGTTTTACCATGATGATGATTCTATTGTGCCTTGTGTAGTGGCCATCTTATTGCTTCTTTTTCTCTTGGCTAGACAGGACAACAGTAGATGTCAAGGCTCACCATGAAAGTGTGATGGGTTGGGTAGTGAAGGAGAGAGTAACATGGGATTGGGAAGTGATAAAAGAGATGAGTAGGTGAGTATATATCTATAGAAGTGGGAAGTGGGAAGTGGATGAGAGAAAATTTCTCTAGGAAGTTACCTGATGAAGTGGAGAGAGAGTTATAGATTGTTTGAAAATTTAATTTTTGAGATAAGAGAGAGTGTAGTGTAACGTTGTTATCCATCATTTGAGTGGGAGTAGTGTTTTTATTTAATAAAAACTAATAAAATTGAAGAAAATATCCCTTCTTTCTTCCTCCATTTCCACCTAAAAAACCGGTGCTATATCTCTAAAGTCCTCCATGAAACATATTAAATACTGATTCTTTCCACCCATGACTTATAAACAAACACATGCGTGTAATTATGTTTGGGGTGATTTATATTTAGGGATTGTTTTGTTTTACGTGAACACTTGTATTAAGGTAAAAAATTTATAAAATTAACTTTTGACAAAAATACTTTTAAAGAAGAGGATTATTTAACGACCTCGTCTATTATTCCATTTTTATATTTATTAGGGAGAGTTGCATTCAAATTTTCTGAAGTTTGTCATTTAATCACTCAGACTCTGGAATATTTAAAATATTTCACAAAAATCTTTTGAGGTTTGTACGAGGGTAATACTTAGATTCCTGCCGTCAATGTTCGTTAGTATATTTGTTAGTAAATTATACCAAGATTTTTTGAAGTTTGTAGGCGTGGAATACTTAAACTTCTCAAGTTTAAAATATTATACTTAGACTAAAAATACTTCAATCAAAGATAAAATAACAATTGTTTTAAATTTTACAACCAAAATTCATATTATATTATTACATTTATTGAAATAAAGTCAAAAATAAAATTTTAATTTTTTTAAAAAAAAATCTTAATTAGTATACAATTATACTATTTATTGGAATTTAATTTGGTTATCTAAATAACCAAATTAAACTACCAAATTATTCAAATTAAAGATAGAAGATATTGTGTCTTTACAGTTTGACCTCTTATTTGATTTTTTAGTTTTATTCTAATAGTACAATATAATTGTATACTAATTATGATTTTTTAAGAAAAAAATTAGAATTTTAATTTTAATTTTATTTTAATATATGATATAATAGAAAATGAATTTTTGTAGTAAAATTCATGTTATATTATAAATGACTTAGACTCCTTATTTGATTTTTTAGTTTAATTCCAATAGATAGTATAATTGTATACTAAAATACGATTTTTTAAGAAAAAATTAGATTTTTATTTTAATAAATGATACAATAGAATATGAATTTTAATTGTAAAATTTAAAATATTTGACATTTTATCTTTGATTAAAGTATTTTTTATCTAAATATAATATTTTAAATTTGAGAGGTCTAAATATATATATGCCTACAAATTTCAGGGGGTCTGGATATAATTTATTAATGAATATTGATGGTAAAAGTTTAAGTATGATGCGTATACACACTTAGACAGTCTATATATAATATTTTAAATGCCAAGGATTTGAATGATTAAGTGATAAATTTTAAGAGAGTTTAAGTGTAATTCTCTCTTATATTTATTACCACCCACCATTGCCTCCGATCACCACCGCCCACCACGCACCACCATTGTTGTTGTCTCACCAACTATTATTGCCAACAAACACTATCGTTATTAATCACTATCATTCTCGCCCACCACCATCCATTACCACTACCATTGCCATCACCACAGCCATCGCCATCACCATTACTTACACTCGCCCAAAAATTTATTGGAAATTTTCCCACAAACATTGGGTTCTAACCAAATGAACTCTAAAATTTTTTGAAGGTTATTGATGCAAAATTTTCTCGCAAAACAATATTCCATGAATTTTTTTAAGACCCTTTGCACAATTTTTTAGAATTTTTTAAAACTTCTAAAGTTTTTTACGATGAATCTTGAACATTTACTATTGATCCTATTTTAAGATCAATTCAAAAATTATTAAGATGAATTGTGAACTTCCAAAAAGTTATAAATTGACTTCTAAAAGATAATAACTTGATCAATAAAAATACTAAGATAATGTCAAAAATTATAATTTTTCTAGAATCAATCTTAATATTTTAGGAGCAATTGCAATTTTTTTTTACTTATAAATAGATCACAAAAACTTGTATGATGGCCCACAAAAAAATAAAAATTTTGGTACCCAAGTGAAATTAAGATTTTTTTATTTATTTATATCTTCGTTGAAATATCTAATTCCGGGTTCGAATTTATCGAACCGGGTCTGGGTCGAATATTAATGCATTTGTAAAGACAGATTAAACCTGTGATTAGTTTAATGGTTACCGCTTCAAGGTCGCGGGTTCAAACTTGCACTGTCCTTCATTTAGGTCTCAGCAGACCAACGGTCGGACCTAACTTGCTACCCCGCAATTCACTTTGCTGGTCCATTGTCAGAGTAAGTAGGTAACTTTTAAGTATTTTTTCTTATGTGATGGTTATATGTATAGTTTATGCATTTGGTGTTCATTGAATTCAGAGATCAATAGCGTAAAATCACTTTTTGATTGGTGATGATTGTATAGAAATTTACAGATCAGAAAACCCACAAGTTGCTTGACAAAATTCCTGAGTGATTTGATGGTGATGATTTTATCGAAATTTAGAGATCAGCAAAACCCACAAGTTGTTTGACAAAATTCCTGAGTAACATTGTTATACAATGGGAACTGAACATTTCACAGTTGGGTTCTTGTATCTTGGCTTTCATTTACAAGATAAACCTAGGGTATGTCTTGGATTGTGGTCCAATCTTGAATATTAGGAATTGCCATTAGTTGTCAAATTTAATCTTTTTAGAGCACAGGTGTTGTTTTGCTAGCATTTTGGAAGTGATTTTACTGCTTTTGGATTCAAAATGTGCTCGGGCCTTTGATCAGGAAAGCTACCAAGTTACTTCCTCATTGCTGATGGAACAGGACCATGGCAGAGTTTTACCATTGGCCAACCGAGCCTAAAACTGTCGTTAATTGGGGTCTTAATACTTCTAGTGTTTTGATTGTTCTTTATTGCAAACAGGAAATCTACTGTATCATGATCAGACTGATAAAGTGGTGAAGAGGAATGGCAAAAGGGCTGATATGGGCAACGGCAGAGGATTTGGCAAGAAACAGAGGGCGGGTTTTGTCTCTTTATCGACAAATACTGCGAAGCCTCAACTCACCTGATTTGCCACTGAATTTAGCAGCAAGGCTGTCCAAGAAAGCGGAGGTTCGTGCCATTTTCATGCTGGCTGCGGAGGAGCAATCTCTCCACAACATTGAAGATCTTATTGATACTGCTGAGTACTCTCTTTCACTTTTAAGAAAAGGAGAAATCCCAAAATACATTCAATGAATAAATTACTTTGTGTTCTCTCTTGTTCTTGTTTTATGTGTAAAGAGGTTGTGAACTAGTTTGTCATATTCATAATGCTGTTGTATGCCTGTATCTGATGATGCTATTTTGAGTGAACAAAGGCCTACAAGATGGTGAAGAATCTGTTTGATATCGGTGTCGTGCTCATTTCAGGATATGCTCTTGAAGGCAAAATCAGAAAACAGGAAAGGATTGGAAATGCCCATCTTGATTTCTTACCTAGACTGATGAAAATACGCTAACTGATTCTTGAGGATAGACCTGATTCCAATGAAAAGAACCAAAATCAGTATTGTATTTTGTTCTGATTCATGGTTTGGATGATTGGTGAACCTTAATTTATGTCCATCATGTTTGTCATCTATACGAAAAAAGTTGGACCTCGAGTGATGATAAGTGCTCATCCAACCAAGCAATGTGACGTGGGTTCAAGCATGGGAACCGAACTCTACAAAAATGGGAGTGAAATTGTTTACCGCATACTTTTTTTACACCCAGTTATAAATTGAAGCATTGTGTACGGGGTGCTATTTATTTATTTTCACCTTTTCATTTCAATGAATCCCTGTTAATGGTGTTAAGTCATAAGATACACAGCACAGGGAGAATAAGGATTTCTTTAACCAATTAGTGGCAATTATTGTATCATTACATAGAATCGTTGCATCTGCTAACAAGGATAATAAAGCTGTGCTCCAGTTTTTCGAATAAAAACTGGAGCATTTTGTTACGTACCTCCAGCCAATATTTTGTTACGTATTGCTCCAATTTTTTAGGCAAAAGTCCTATATGGTGAAGAACCCGGTTAGGACAACTTTGTTTAAAAAAGAGTAATGCTATTGAGACCTAATTTACTGTCATATGAATTAACTGCATTCCATCAAAGTTGATGCCAATGCAAATGTTTTGTAACTACATCGATATGGCGGGCGGACCGGGCCACCCAGCACCCTATACACAGCCAATCGACGGCTAAGATTCACCAGAAAATTTATCAGGGGACCCACTAACGGACCCAGCTGGATTCTAATTTGTTTTGGCACTTCCCGCCACCGGTCGTTATACTTAGTTAACAATTCTTGTTTGGGAACCCAAAAAGTCATCATGAGCTTGTTTTGCTCGTCTTGTTTGAAAATTCCACAACCCTTTGACGTTCATTCACAAGAACACTTAGTCCTCCGCAGAATCGAGTCATGCAAATCCATACAAGAACTCAAACGAATCCACTCTTACATCGTGAAAGCAATCCCATCTCTCTCTACACAGCAACTCATATACACCAAAATCTTCTCTTCATGTGCAGCTATATCACCCTCTACAGACCTCAGCTATGCCCACTCCCTTTTCACCCAATTGCAAAACCCATCCATTAGTCTCTACAACACCATTATCAGGTATTTTTCACGTTGCAAGAACAGTGAAGATTCACTAACTGCATTGTTGTTTTACCGTGAATTGCTTGTGAAAGGGTTGTTTCCTAATTGCTATACTTACCCTTTTGTTTTCAAAGCGTGTGCACAGTCGGGTGCGCTGAGAGAAGGGGAAATGGTTCATGCAGATGTGATAAAAAATGGGTTGGTATCGGATTTGTATGTAGTGAACACATTGATGCGTTTGTATGCTGTTTGTGGTGTTATTGGGGCAGTAAGAAAGGTGTTTGATGGAAGTCCTCAACAGGACTTGGTTTCATGGACTACACTGATTCAAGGGTGTGTTGATATGGGGTATTGGAAGGAAGGGGTAGAACTGTTCTTCGATATGTGTGGAGCTGGTTTTAGAGCTGATGGAATGACAATGGTGGTTGTGCTTTCTGCATGTGCTAATTTGGGAGACTTGAGTTTGGGTAGAAAGATACATGATTATATGCGTGACCAAAAGGTGCAGTTTGATGTTTTTGTTGGAAATGCATTAGTAGATATGTATTTGAAGTGTGGCGATGCTAATATTTCTTGGAAAGTTTTTGATGAGATGCCAGTGAAAAATGTGGTTTCTTGGAATTCGATGATATCTGGACTGGCTCAACAAGGGAAATACAAAGAATCTGTGAATGTGTTTCGGATGATGCAGAGCAGAGGTACTAAGGTGGATGATTTTACTTTAGTTGGCGTGCTGAATTCGTGTGCTAATTTAGGAATGCTTGAATTGGGCAAGTGGGTTCATGCCTATTTAGATAAAAATCAGATTACAGCTGATGGGTTTATAGGAAATGCACTTATTGATATGTATGCAAAGTGTGGAAGCATAGATGAAGCCCTTAGAGTGTTTGAAGGACTGAAATGTAGAGATGTTTATACATATACATCCATAATTGTTGGGTTAGCAATGCATGGGCGGGGAGAGAGAGCTCTTGAACTCTTCCGTGAGATGTATAGAATGGGCATAGAACCAGATGGTGTCACGTTTGTTGGTGTCCTGACTGCATGTTGTCATGTAGGACTTTTGGATGAAGGAATGAATCTTTTTCTGGAAATGTTTAGGGTGTACCACATTAAACCTCAAACAGAGCACTATGGCTGCATGGTTGATCTTTTAGGTCGTTCTGGATTGATAAGTGAGGCAGAGAAGTTCATTAAAAGCATGCTAGTTGAGCCTGATTCCTTTGTGTGGGGAGCGTTGCTAGGAGCTTGTAGGATCCATGGAAAAGTTGAACTTGCGGAAAGGGTAATGGAAAAACTTGTAAAGATACAGCCCGAGGAAGATGGTGCATACATACTCATGTCAAATATATATTCCTCCGCAAGTAAGTGGAGGGGTTCATTGAAGATCAGAAAGGCAATGAAAGAAAGAAAAATAAAGAAGACTCCAGGATGTAGCTCAATTGAAGTGGATGGTGTGGTTCATGAATTTCGAAAGGGTGACAATTCACACCCAAAAACTAAAGACATACACATGTTCCTAGATGCAATAGCAGGTCATATAACATTTAATGGCACTTGAGAAGCAGTGATGCATTCTCATACTGGATTTGGTTAAGGGAGCCTGTATTGTTTTATCAATTGAGAAGATAGAGCTGAGTTTGCACTTTGCACTTGCTCTAATCTTGCTGGGTGCCAAAGTTAACTGTATGGAAGAGTGGGGAGTGTGGTCACTATTACACTTTCACAGACCTATTTAGAAAAACAGTGAGGCTGGCTTCTGATTTCACCATTTTCTGAACACATTGGCAAAAGGCAGCATTCCTAGACTTGGAAAACTTTACTGTGACTCTTTGAAGATTGGCAAGAAATATTTGATCTCTGTTCACCATGTCAAATTTTGGTGAGGATGCATGGTCATTTTGAGTTAAAGGTTCATCTCATTTCAAAGACCATTTCATTGATTGATTCCATTGTGTTTCTGTTGCAATTAGATCTATAGCTAATAAAATATTTTTGTAACAACTGTCCCTTAAACAAACAGCAAGATGGTGGAGATCCAGCTGAAGTTCATCGAGGACCTTTGACACAAACAGCAAGCAATTGATCCTCTTCTGCGGAACGAGTGTGATGTTCACTTCATCATCAATGATACGGACATCAACCTCGGTATTCTTGGACTTCCTCTGAAGCCATGAACTCCTTAATGATGATCCATTGTAGGCCTGGTCTTGATCACCAAGAGGTGTCATGCTAATACTCTTTCCATCCCCTACATCATCTTTTGTTTTGTGCCTCTTGATCCTCTCTGCTGCACGTCGCTTGTCCACCAGAATCTTAAGTTCATTAGCTGTTCTAAGAAGCTCTTTGATATATTCTATAGCATCTCCCACTATTGATGCTCTTTCATTCTTGGTATGCTCCCCCAAACAAAAAATTTGAAAATGTCAAGCAAGGAAAATTCGCTGATGAAAGCTTATGCATGTTGAGGCAGTTAATTTAATCGAATTGTGAGGTAATCTATAGAAGCAGAAGAGAAAAATGGAATAGATAGCAGAGTGGAATGTGGAAATTGCTAACAAGAAAAAAGGCAAATCAAGCAGTATAGTTTCATCAAAATGCAAGTTAAAAGAGTTGTTAGTAGAAATTGTTTCTTTCATACAAACATATATCGTTTATAACATGCAGAGAGAGAGAGAGAGAGAGACCTTGGTGGGGTTGGGAAGCAAATTTCTCAAGGCCTTGTACTTGTCATTCAAGTTTTCTCTCCTTTGCCTCTCAGTAGTGAAGTGTTTCATATCCTTGCCACCCTTCCCTTTCATGTCTCCAGAGAAATTTAAAACTCCACTGTCAACATGCCTCCCATTCTCACCTTGATACACACCTCCACTTGCCTCTCTCTCATCCACCCTATTAAGCAAAGATTCAATTCCGGGTCTTAAGTTGTAACTGTGCGGCAACGACTGAATCAACCCCTAAACATTGGAGGCTGTGGAGGAAGGTTCAAAGGTAACAGTGGGTCATAGAAAACATTTGAGGCTGGTGTGCTCTCTGCTGTCATAAGGTCTCCTAGAAAGCTTAATGAGCTTGGAAAATTAGCGGAGCTCTGGATTGGGTTTGTAATGGAGATTGATGCATTGGGTGGCAGAGGAAGATGAATATCGAGGCAAGTGCAACAGATTGAGGAGGTCTGGTGTTGGGGGGTATGGGGTGACTGGAAATGAAGAAGAGTTTAAGCCTTGGAAGTGACCATTTTGAATTTTTTCTTGTTGCAAGTTTTGATCTTGCTGGTGAGCGTAGTGACAGAAACTCGTGGACTGCATGTCATGGACATTGGTCTCCCAATTTGACTGATCACCTGATAACGCATGGTTGGGGTCATGAACTGCTTCTTGCATCAAATAGGTGTCACTATGATTGCTGTTGGGGTCGTAATAGTGTTCCCTCTCCATACTCAGTTGTTGCAGCTCTATCTCCACGGCTGCAGGGGCAACTCCGTTGCAGGCAGGGGCATCTTCTTGGGAAAAATTTTGGTGGTAGGAGAGTTCTTCAATGGAGAACTTTGGATTGCAGTTTGGCAGATGGGTGTGTGAAAAACTATCCTCAGCTAGTACTTCTTCTATGGTGTTGGGATCAAAGTAACCACTATGGTCATTCATTTTCAGGATCACCAGGTAGCTATGTTTCCTTGTCTTCTGTATTTTGGATCACAGGCTGCACCAGATAACAAGTTACAAAAGTGGAAAAAAGTAAGTACATGAATTGGTATTAACAAAGATTGCAAGAGAATTTCATGTGTATATTGGCAAGTGGAGGAGGATGACTTAGCCAAACCTCTAGAAGGAAACTATCAGAGGGTATTTAAATTAAAAATTGAACCTGTTGAACCCCTGTACAAACTTCAAAGCAACATAGTTTGTGTTTACATAAACCCAAAAAGATCACCAGGTTAATGGAAAATAAAATCTCTCTCTCTCTCTCTCTCTCTCTCTCTCTCTCTCTCTCTCTCTCTCTCTCTCTCTCTCTCTCTCTCCACACACTTGGATGCTTATCCGATAGTTATCTTTACTAATAAGATAGGACTCATTTTGAATCTTTTTTTACTTTAAAATTTAATTTATTTGGAAAAGCATAAGAACGGCTCAGATTAAATCCACTTTTAATTCAAAGGCCCACATTTTCATATCATTTCTTCCATTTCAATCCAATGGCTTGCAATACATCTCAACCCAAAAAAAAAATCCCGCCCATTTTGAACCCAAACACACGCCACCCCCAATTATATGTTGCTTACCCATGCCAGGTAGTCTGCATTACTCAGTAGCAAGAGGGTGTTTTTAATCACAACGGGTGAACCTTTGTAGATAATGAATAAGAAGTAAATTTTGATGTTTTCGAATTTAAAACTTAAGTAACTTTTTTGTACTTCACTCACACTCGATTTATTTAATAAGTTGTGTTGTATTGAATTAGTGTCGTGTATAAATTATATATAACTGGTATCTAATCGAATCGTACCGAATTTTTCTTTTAATTTGTTTCACTCATATTTAATTCGTTTATTAATCGTATCGTGCCGGATATACATCTATGAAACGCGTGGCTTAAAGAAAACTTAAATCTTTTAACTTCGTGTAATGTTAACGAATCATGTTATATTTTAACACCCTTAATTATAAGTTTTAGTGAAATTCATTTACGGACTTATTTACTTATTAGTAAACAATTATATCACGCACTTTTTAATGGTCCTATTTTCTAACTTATTTACATTTACGGACTTATTTCTAACGTTATGGTAAATTAGAGTTTTAATCTAATTTTTCGTTACGCCGTGCCTTCAGGCACGGGCAATTACTAGTTTTATATATTACCTCTATGTGGTTTGACAGAGTAATAACCTATTGCCACATTATAGTTTTAAAATCTACAAATAACCGTTAGGAATTCCTTTAAAATTATGGGTCAAGGGTCAAAATTCAACTTTTCTAGAGAAATAACGTATTAAAATGACTTTGATACTATGAATATTGTATTTTTTAAGGAAAATTTCAATCATACTTCTGCTAGTTTACCATAACTTCAATGATATTTTTTTATTATCCAAAACATCATTGACACCCATTTTAGTTTATATTTAAACATCATTGACACCTCCTATCATTAAACCATTGTTTCATTCAAACAAAAAATTCATTTAAAATACCAAAATTTTTCTTACATAAACCTCAAGCAATCTTTTTAGACATAATTCGATTAAAATTTGAGCCGATTAAAATTTATTTTTCTACATATTAAAATTTGATTCGAGCTAATTAAATTTTATTTTTTTTATGTATTAAAATTCTATTCGATTAAAAATTATTTTGTATATTAAAATTTGAACCGATTAAAATTTGTATTTTTTTTACTTATTAAAATTCTATTCAAGTTGATTAATTTTTTTTTAAGTATTAAAATTTAAGTCGATTAAAATTTATATTTTTTTATATATCAAAATTCTGACTGATTAAAATTCAATACGAGTTGATTCAAATTGATTAAAAACGAATTTTAATTGACTCAAATCGAATTTTAATCTACTCAAATTTTAATACTAAAAAAATATAATTTTTAATTGACTTGAATTTTAATACATAAAAAATAATTTTAATTAGCTCAAATCAAATTTTAATATGTAAAAAAATTCAAAAAACAAAATAGTTCTTATTGAAGATATGCCTATCTGGGGGTATGAATAAAATTTTTCCTAAAATATATCTTGGGTAGTTTAATAAAATTGCATTCTAGTTAAAGCTATTAATCTGACCGGGAGTATCAATGAAGAATCAAAAATCAAAACATAGAGGGAGTGTCGATATGATTTACTAAAAGGGATGTAACTGAATTTTTCTCGATTTCTTAATTATTATGTCCCTAAAGTAAACCAATTTTACTCTCTCCCCCCCCCCCCCCCCCTTTTCCAAAAAAAAAATCTCTGTATTAAGTTAATCTTTCAATTTTCATGAAATTTTTAGGAATGAAAATTGCTAAGAAAATTAGAAAAATTTTAAATTGTAAGCTCCGTTGGCTGTCAAAATTCGTCCCAAACTATAGAAGGTAATGTATCAGCAATTAAAGTATAGACAAGTAAAGTGTTGTCAGTTAAATTAATGGAGATAATCTAGGGTGGAACTATTCCCACCTCTTAAATCTCATTTTTCACCCCTATTTAATCATCTTACTTCAAATTATTAAGTTAATCACATCTTTACCCATCTCATTAGTTACTAAACCCAATCCGTCTAATTAAAAAGTAAATTCATCCAATTTTATTTCAACCTACTATATGGGCAATGATTAAAATTTTATTTTGATTTATTATTTGGTATGAAAATATTTTAGAAGTAGAATAAAAATTAATTATTATTTTTAAAATATTAGTCAAAATATACCAAAAATATCTTAAAATACCTCAAAATATACTAAATGCATTCATGAAAATATGTCAAATATCTCAAAACACATCAAAATATTCATAACATTTGAAATTTCACTTCAATTATTATTTTGTTTTGATTTTTTTGACATATATATTTAATAGTTTAATTGAATGAATATAAATATGGTAAACTTAGTAGTCGAAAATAAAATGATTAAATGAGATAAGAAAAGAGATTTAAGGGGTGGGGATTGCCCCACCCGATAATCCATAGTTTGTCCCAGTTAAAATTGAAATTTTCATAACACAGGGATTGTCCCAAGACAGAATATTCAACATATTTCTTCCTGGGGGTAAAGCTTTGGACCTGACGATGAATTGAATCTTTGTATTTTAATGAATGATTTGGAGGTAAAAAAACTCGAAATCAACCTTGTACACTATGAGCCGAAAAGGAAGCAGAAAAGGAAGGATGACCAATCAAACAACAAAGATATGCTTAGACCTACATCGGCATATAGGAACACCAAAATTCAATGCCACATTTAAGTACCTTCTATTTATGCCATCCCACGAACCAATTCGCTAGCCACCAACATCATTTTTTCATATCTTGTCGATCTTGTCAAGCTTCATAACCGATTGGCCTTGCAATGGCATCCTTGAGCAGCAGTCTTGAAATCAAAAACATGATTATACTTATCAGAGTACCGATGGACTGAACAGAAAAATTTGTCCACATCGACACTTCGCCCCGTGAGTCCCATCTTTTTCACACTTTGATCATGTTATTATTTTCTTCGATTATCGAATCAACTATGAATTGCTTCGAACAGTAGTCTTTGTAGCATTTAGCATAAAGTATCGGAAAATTGTCTCTGGCCTCGCTACTTACCAAGGTGAAGGAGAGTTCTGGGGATGTGGCCGATGGTGGAGGGTGTAGCGTGGAAGATGATGAGCTCATACTGAGACTAGAATTATATTGGGATGGAGCTTCTGTTGGGTGGAGGGTTAGGCAGTTGTTATGGGCTGGATAAGCTTGTGGAGGCCCACTATACGGCCCATTTAAGGGCTACTTGCCCTACTCTTTATTGTGTCCCTCAGTTGGGTCAGTGGATGACAGGCCTACCATGACCCCCGGTCCACTGCCATCCCTACTTGGGTGACAGGCCTGCTATGACCGTGTTGACGGCTCAGCCCAAAACATGTTCTTGCTTCTTAATTTTAATCAAGGGTTTTTTTGAAGGCCGATGCTCAATATAACACTTAATTGTATAAAAGTGCTTAGTAACAAAAAAATTGTACATAAGTCCCTTATTTTTGTGAATGACAAAAATACCCACAAACTAATACTAACCACAAACTAATATAAGCAATGCTATAAAATTCAAATAAAATCTAAAAAGTTACAACCCAAATACATATCATCTATTAGATGAGTGAGTCTCATTCACTAAAAAAAGAGTAATGCTACATGAACTTAAAAATTAGACTTGATAATTATAACCATTGATTTTACTGTGAGTCCCAACATTTATTAGAACCTGCTAACTATTCAATGGTTGCGATTATCAAGTCTAGTTTTTAACTCTAACTTTTAAGTTTATGTACTTTACTCATAAAAATATGGGCAACTAATCCCCATTTGGAAACAACTAGAAGTCATGCACCAATCGCATTAAATCTGACAACTAATATATCACTAAAAACATGGGTTTTAAAATTTAAACAAAATCTGCCACAAAAAAATGCCATAAAATTCATGAGATTTTAACCAAATCAAAAACACAAACAACCGAAAATGGTGAGGATAAAAAAATCTTTTGTCTTGTGTAACAAAACATAGTCTTTTTAAGGAGCACGGTAATAACGAGAACAAATATATGAGATATTTGCCTCCCCTTTAACCTGTTGTAGTAATGAATTTATTATGCAGTATAGAAAAAGAACTTGAAAGTAGCCAGATCCGGAATGAAATAAAGAAGGAGAAACCAAATACCAAAGAACATATAAGCCTCAACAACGTGATTTGCAAGAGATAGATATACTATCAACTAATTCATCAATTTGGCAGCTTAAGGGAGAGATTCAGCTCTCCAATCAGAAATATGCCAACAAACATAATTTAAGGAATATCGAGTTCTAAGAATAAGTCATGTCCAAGGAGATACCACATACCAGAGCTTTCCCACTTCCAAAATCACAGAGTTTGAGCTGATGAGTGTGAGGATTAACCTG